GTACCTTATAACCAGTTGATCGGCTAATGAAGTCGGAGACCGCCCTTACCCTCAGCAGCGTTGGGCTCCTCAGCATGCTCCTCTGGCTCGGCCTTCTCGGCTGATTCCTCGTCCCCCTCGAGCTCAGGCAACTCGATGTCCTCCGTACCATCATCAAGAACATGACAATAGACCTTGTAAGAAGCCTTGTCATCACCAGCCAAGAGGCCCGGTAATATGGTCTCCTTGAGGACCTATTACGACAAGACGTGAGCAGCAACTACTACGAACTCACAGTAGTCAATACCTTCACGCCAGACTCTTCGAAAGGACCGAACATGGTGCTCCAGATGAGCTGACCTCCAACCTTCAAAGCTTGGCCCTCAACCTTGGACAACTTTTGGACGTGCTCAGCCCCGGACTCGTCAGCCAACAGACCGTCGATGGTCGCCTTGTCGAGGAACATATCCACCTCCGCTGAACAAGAATATATCTATTCCGACCTAACCTGGGTATTACCAGGCTTAACGATCTCAGGGCACATCTCCGCAGCCTCCTTATTATGGTACTCCACCTCCTTGAACATTTCCTTACACATGTCAATAGCGCTGGGTGAGTAGTCAAGACCGATAAGGCGACCAGTGTATCCCGCCTCTCGCATGGAGTTAAGGAAGGAGGACACCTGATAAAGTCACTCTATTAGATTGGAAAGCGCCTTATACACTCAAATGACCTCCAACATAATCATTATATTATAATGCGGACAATATGTGGAGGTAGCTCAGGATAACTTACTCCGCATCCAACATCAACAACTGTGATATCCTTCTTCTCGGGCAGTAGCTCCTTCATAGCCTCGAAACTGAAGTGCCACTCATCAGTCGAATTATCATCATCATCCTCTGCAGCGGCAGCCTTCTTCTCTGAAGAGCACACCTCTCCAACTATGATAACCAAATCGATTACCGTCCTTCTCACTCTTCTTCTCTTCATTGAGTCTCTGTTTCTTAGCCTTGTAACGCTCCTCCCAATAGCTAGCATCACCATACTGACGAAGGTCCTCTCCCTCCTCCTCCTCCACTGCCTTCTCGGCCTCGATCTCATCAGCTGGTCGCTTCTTGCCAGCCTCGGTGGTCGATGGGATGACAGTCATTATAAACGAGATCGGCTGCTGAGCTACGACTGAGACCGATACCATGACTGTCACTATTTTATTGCACCACTACCGTCTCGCTCCGCCTGTGCTAGTCTCCGAGAGGAACGCAAATCCGAAAAGAAATGAGGAAACTATTCATCACTCTTCTTGGGTATAATTCCGTGAATTAGTCCATTCTTCCTTTAAGTGTCTTTGTGATCAACTAACGATAAGACCAAGGTTTCAGGAAGAGCGACGTCAGTGTGCAAGAGCTTACCTCTTTATCGGTAAGTATATAGACCACGCCACCCCATCCAGAAAGACAGTCGCGGTCAATACCCGAGAGCAACGATTGGCCCAGGACCTACAAGGAGAGCTGTCACCTCTCCACTGTTGTTGCTGATGCAAGTACCTCAGCGAGCTCCTCAGGGCCCATGCCTTCCCTCCAGAAGCTCTCGGCTACACCCATGAGCTGCTCGGTGGCCGTACCAGAGACGATGAAATCGGGAGCAGTAGATTCAGTGCCTGATGTGGCAGCCTTATAGCCAACACTTATGGACAGCGAAGCTATACGCCAACACGAGAGCTATCGATGAGCTCGATCACACACTCATGTATCGACCCCCCATACTTCAATCACACATAGAGAGTAGCACTACGGCTTAAAGGGCTGATAAACTCATTAATGAGAGAACAAGCTTAGAACTCACCAATAAGGTCAAAGGAAGAGATGAAGGGCTCGCCATCGTTCTTAAGACCAGCAATAACAGGCTCACAGAAGTAGGGCCCGAACCTAGGAATAGTCGGGTATAACCAGCCAGCCGCAGGGGTAGTAGTATTAGTACCGTTTCTCGTAGAGCATAGTAGCCATCAAGTGGCTCACAACATCACATGGCATCTCCCTGTCCTCCTTCAACTTGTACAGCTTCAAGCGGAACTTCAGCAGCTGAGATCTGCAGTCAACAACCCCCATCGCCGCGAAGCCGGGCCCATGACCATTCTAGTACAGTGTCTGCGAGTCAGTGGCGAGGCCTTGGAATCCGACCAAGCATCGGGATGTCATCGGGTACACCTTCTGCATGTTGGCCGAGACCGTCTGCAGCTGGTTGACGCCATATCTTCGATCGCAGGCCTAGTGAAGTAATTTCGTGGCGCGTGACGCTGATTCCATCCGATATTACGATTCCGACACAGCCTTCGCCCTTCATAGCAATCACACTACCACCGTTATACTCCATAATGTTGCCCGACTAAAAATGAATACCGTAACTTTCTCAACTCCCACCTGCCCGTGGCACCTACCATGCTGAACGAGTACACTACAAACGAAAAACTGAGAGGAAAACGGCTTTGGCGAGATGCAATCCTGAGCAACCTACTCGGGCCAACGCGACAACCTGGGACTCAACCCGAAGTTGAAATACAACAGAGAATTTCGATGTTGGCAACAAGGGTACAGTTCGAATTAGAGGCAGAGTTTACCGCGCTCAGGCGGTAGGGGGAGACGTAGACTCATTGTGGCTTGTTGATCGACCCCAGAGCAACCTGTGGTAATTTCCCTTGCACTCATAGCACAATACCGAGTGCTTATTACTGGTGTTGAGTAAGGCGCTGTTGGAGCAGACACTGGCTTGTCTAGTCCCGGCAATGTAGTTGGCAAGTACGTCGGAGCTGATGGTCCCTGAGAGCCCAGCAACGAGTGTAGTGGTGCTGGCCCTGGTCTGCACTACCGCCCGGAGCTCATTCTCCTTATCCATGGCGACCTCTTCCTCTAGCATGGTGAACTCAGCTTCCAGAGCAGCATCATCGCAACCCTCAGGTAAGTTATAACTTCTACCCAAAATGTCGTTGATTTCTTCCTGGTCCATCATAATATCCTAACATCGTCATCACCCTTCCCCTTCCGAACCTCCTTTGTAGCATCTTACCGCCATATCGTCAACAACATCCTCCACATGATCGATGTTGAAGTCGTTCATCTGGGACTTCATGGCGCTATTGGCTACCTTCATCGACTCCACCACGTTGATATTAGTCTGAATCTGCTCCTGTGTGAAGGCCGCCTGAGCACCGAGTTGGTGAGCCCAGGATCCAACCTTAGGACGGGGATCCTCTACCTGGTCCACGTTGAATTGTGTGTTCATCATTTGATCCCTCTGGGCCTCATACATCTTCTTCCTCTTCAATACTGCCAATGCTCGCTGCTTGGCCCCGACCGCGCCAGACCTAGTCGCCATCTGCTGCTTGTACCTGTAGCCTGGTGGCTTACGATGGAGCTCTCCTTGCTACTTGATTAGATCCTCATCACACTGTTTGATTTTCTTGTCTAATAATGTGACTCGGCTGTCCAAGTGCTCACTGGTCTCGGCCAGAGACGGCCCTGTAGGGGCGGGAGGGGCCTCCACCTTCTTTTTCCCAACCCCAAATATTCGGTTCATTTCACAAACTAGATTATCAAATTAACCTAATCGGTCAGATAATCCCTCATCATCGACAATTTTAATTCGTGTTTACAGCTTCTTTCTACCTACTTATGTGAATAGTAGTAGAGATTCTCGGGCGAGCGCGATGTCGGTAGCACGCGTACACAAGAGCTCATCTTAACCATCGCTGAGATATTAGTAGGAGCTCGAACATCTGATGTAAGGAGCGATTAGTAACAGAGGTACCGCTTGTTGGGTGTAACTATGCATCGCCGTTCTGTCGTCAACGCGGCAGACATTCGTAGCCAGAGGGCGAGTACTTCACTATCTACCAGCATTCCCCCATCCAGCACAATATAAGATTCACCAGCTATACATCATGTTCTTGGTAGCGTCTGTGTATGTATGTATCTTGTACTAGTTCTTCATATAATCAGTTGCTTCCACTCTTAATACAACAGATCTATCACAACAACCATATGGCAATCGGGCACATTTTCTTGGGACTATCACTGCAGAACTCAACACAATAAGAGACGTACTAGGTCGCATGCACTCTGCCTGCCAACGCTACCCTCATCATCTTAAAAAAATACCAAGTCTAAAGACGTGCAGCAGTAATCATGATACCCCGGAGACGATCAGTGACACCACCAACTGTAGACACTGCTCTGTCCCGACAATGACTAAATAGAGTGAGGAATGGATATATCTTCTATATGCAGGCAGCTTCTATCTCAACACTAATAATGACAATACTACTACTGCTAGAAGTAACAACCCTTTTATAGGGCCCTACAGGAATCCTCGATTCAGCAATGTGACAAAAGCAAGAAACACTCTTCTAATAATAATAACAACCACCACCACCTTCACTCTCTTCCAATACGACGTGCACATGACAAAAATGATATTCGATCGAATCTGGTGCATCGGGATCGAACCGTTCTTGTAGTAGGCGATAACAGCAAGTTTACAGGCTCAGAAGGCTCAATGGATACGAGGGTTAATGATGAGATATGAGAAGTAACTCTACTGATCTTTTTAGGTTACATAAAAAAGGTACTCCACTGCTATGATCACACATTAAACGGAGTGATAAGAGAATCTGCCTTCGTATCTTGTCGCAGACTTCATGAGGGATCAGCCGAGATTAAGATACAGCTGCGGGGTCGTCCATCGTAGTCTCCCCTGATCCGACCTGATACATGAGGAATTCTCATAGAGGAGTCAGTGACGAGCGTTCTTACACGAGGATCTCGCTTTGGATGATCGAGCACTTCACCCAACATTGACGTCGAACTGCTGCTGCCACATCGCGTACTAGTAGTAGAGGCATCGCTGGCCTTACGTAGCCTTTCCAAGGCGCTGCGACGCACAGTCTGAAGACGGAGACTTCTCCACTGATTTTGAAGGAATTCATATACGATGCAATCTTCACAGATCAATGGCAAATGAGTTGTTCAATCGCTGTTGGCAACCACTCCCTGACCCACCTTGAAAACAGTCTCCATGAGCAGAGCCAGATCGGCCTGGGAAGTATCCTCCCTCTTAGACGCCAATGCAGCTGCTGCGGCTGCAGCCGCCGCCTGCGAGGTCGCAGCCTCCTCAGCTTCCGTGGTAATGTCTAAGTAGTGATTGAGAACTGGGGGCTCACGAATCTGACAACTCTATAGGATCGAGGGAGATCTGCTGAGACTCGGACTGAACTCACCGCATGAGGCAATTCAAAGGGAGACACCGACTCGTCCTCTCCAGTTGCTGTAATGGTCATGTCCGACTGCTGAGCATTTTCGAGCTGCCTCAGGAGCTCCTGCGCTTCCTCCGAAGACATCATCTAACAAGGGCGATGCTTTTCAGCATGGACATGTTGCTGCGTACTGGTCTGGAGCTTTCATCGTAGCTGACAAGCTCGAGAAGGGCAGGCTCGATGAGGGAAGGAGGCACACCAGTAGAACTGGAGTCGTCCATGTTATCCAGCATCCTAATCACATACGTTAATCGAATAACCTCAAGAGTGCACTCACGAGTCGTGTCTGGTAGGATGAACAGCAACAGCAGCAGCATCAGCAGTGGAGACCGATGGTTCCGAGAAGATACCGTTTTGCGGGAGTGCATTATCCAACGACTGTACATACCCGCCGTTATAACTCTCTTGCTGGTCCGACGAACCCCTCGGAATCTCCCCAGCCGCGCGAGCATTCCGAGCCCACTTCACTTCGAAAAACCCTGAGAAGGCAATAACCCTGCTAGGACCGAGATGACATGACGTTACAGGTCCGGCCGAAAGGATCGTCCATAGAGATGCTCCGCTCCTCACAGGCTTGGTAGGCTTCCAGGGCGTGTGCACGATGAACAAAACGGACGAATCCATAGCAGCGCGGTAAGTGAGTGACGGGGTCGTAAACAACCTTGACGTGCTCGAGGGGGCCGAAACGGCCGAATCGACAAGCTGTAAGAAGTGGTTGAACACCCGAGAAGCTCCGACGACGAGATCTCACCTAAGTCTACCTCCTGGGCCTCCCGAGGGAACCGGAAGACCATGAGAGTCCTGACGGCCAAGTTGGGGTCATTGAAATCCGTCTGGGGGTATGGTCCCTTGACACTGCTACTGCTGCGGCTTGACCCCGAGTACTTCCTCTCTGCCGAATATCTGCTGCTATTGTTGGTCGGGGAGGGTTCGAAGATGGCACTCATCGTAACCGAGAAAGTGGATGAGAATACGCTGATTAAAGCTGCTGCTGTTGCAGTCGTAGCCTCGACCCTTTGAACGCGACAGAGACTTTAGCGAGATAAGCACGTGTCGGAAATCATATTAGTTTATTCTTCTCATCTTCACTGTACTGGAGTAGGGTCTCCAACCGTGCATCGGATAGCAGTCGAGACCTCCAGGGCTGGTAGAGTCCTGACGGCATGAGAAGCTTGTGGAAATTAATGCCCTCACTTCAGGATTCATCATCTGCCTCGCCAAACACTTACGGGCTTACTGAGTCTTGACGATATAGAATTGAATAAAACGTATCGGGAAAAGCCATTACTAAGTTAAAGCACTATCGAAGCCTTCTCGTAGACTCAGTGGTACTCTGAGTATAGTGCAGACACTGTGGTTATAATGATCGACTCTATAATGAATGATATCACCAAGCTGATCAATAGAGAGCTTCCGATCCAGCCAGGTGGGCCGGCACAGCCATCGGCCACTCGGCAGCATGGAACCTTTGTCGCATCCATCCATCGACTATGATCAACGACATTCCAGGAGATATAAGGACCGGACAACGCAACGGTCAAAACAGTTTGACACCGCGAGAAGATTCACACAAGATCGTGGCAAGCACTTCATTTCCTCCGACGATTCATTCTGACAGGCTTGGGCCGCTTTTCTGCCTTCTTTATAGCCCTCACTGCCTCATTGGGGGACACGTCCACCCCCGTGCTCAAAGACCTACGCCCAGCAACACAACCAGCAGTACCATCGACTTGACAGTACATCGCAACGTCCGGACGTCTTGTTAGCCTCTCTACTGTGAGTTGGCAGTGAATCGTCTCAGGGTGCCGAGGACCGCGAGTTGCCTATGATACCAATTTCCCATACCGTACCACTCGAAACTCACATTCATAATTTCCGCAGCGCTCCACGCTAACTTGTATGCATTCCTGAATTTGCCCAAGGCGGCCAGGGCAAGTGCTTCATTATGTCCCCAAGCCGCCACATGGGGACAGATCTGCACACAATGGCCCATGTACCCGACTTCCCAAGTGACGTACTACCATTGGGGGTTCACGGTGTCGCTTAGTGTTATGGGATATGCGCAGTATCTTAGCATTCTTGAAACACTCACGGGCGAGCGAAAACTCCTCTAGTCGATAACATGCAAAGCCCATCGTTGCCAATATCTAGGAGATACTCCAGCAGCATAGGAGGAACAGAGCACCTTGGAAATGATGAGGTCGTGTTGGTCGTTGAATTCACCACCAATTGGGTTCGTATAGTATAAGCGCCACAGGGACCATACCAGACGTAGAACTGCCTCATCGACAGCAGTCTGAAGAGCGAAAGCGACTCTCCTCAGCCCCTCGAGCCCCTAACCTTCTCAGCTCCCGGCTCTGTCCATCGGACCATGGCGATCTCAGCCAGCTGTGACACGAAATACCTGGTCATTGCCAGATAGCTCGACTGCACTACAACTGGGCACATCACTCACACTTCCGCATGGGGGCTAAGGGGGGATAGGTATGATATCGAGGCAAGGGTTTCATATTCCACAGTCAGGAGGGCACACCATCCCTCCGGTTGAAGGACCCGGTCCGATTCTGGTATCACGTGGAGCTCAGGGATGCACAGGACCTCCTGACACGATCATCGAGCCATGCGAAAAGGCACATACAACAACCTGCGGGTTGCTCCGGACTGCAGTTCCTCCTTTACGGCGTTGACCAGACTTGAGAGCAGTATCCTTAGGTTGACCCCAATTATCTAGGAATGTCACCGGGATATGGTATAGGGCCTCCTCAACAGAATAGGCCTCTGCGGTATTCATTCGGAAGCCGTTGGCCATATGGCGCATGCCAGTCTTGACGAATAGCCATTCAGCTCTGGCTGTGACCAAGTTCATAAGGGCCGCGTAAAAGAGCCCATCACGCCTAAGTAGAAACCATGTGAGGGGAGAAGGCATCATCCCGTGTCAAGACATGCCAGCGAAAAGATGAAAATTATGAGAAAATTTTGGGAAATTTGTGTTCGTACCTGAACACTTCTACCCCATTTCATATATAAATTCCCATAATCAATAGCAGAGATAGAGATATCAGCTGAGGAAAGCGAGCATATTCCCCCATCATCCAAACACACCGTAGGCGTTCGATCCTGTCCAGCATATCCTCGACGTTGTCTGAGCATTTACATATCGGTGCCCGGAACTTATGCTGCATTAATGGCCACACAGGGGCATTGGCCACAGGCCCTTTACGCTCTCCATAGATGCTTATCTCGTCCGTCACGCAGTTCTCCGCGATAAGAAAGCCCTAGTCAATAGTACTGAAAAGTAACCTCAGAACCCCCTCACCGGGTGCAGCGTTCGGTCGAATGCTCCCTCTGATCCGTCTCCAGATCTCCTTACTTGCGGAGCTCCAATGCCAGTCCCCCCACCGGGCTTCGGCCCACCTGCTGATGAGCACAATGGGACGATAGCGGGGCAATAACGACGATCAACCTGCTTTGGGATTGCTCCATGGAGGCTTCAAGCCTTCGTCGTGCTGCTTCCTGGATCCCTGGAGCTCCCGGACCCTTACCCCTTAGGGTCGACACTAGGCATGACTAAGGGCACTCATGGACTCACTTTCGATCGGACCAGGCGGTGTTGGTGCTGATGAAGAACCTCTTGAGCTGTTTGAGGATCTCCCTCTTCGAAAGCGGCTGCAGCGGTACTGATACCGCGGACACTTTTCCTGTCGACACTGTCATTGACCTCAGAAGCAACTAGGAATGGCCACAGACGTAGTAAAAGGCTGCATTCATTGACAACCGAGACATAATAACGAGGGCTGGTAGTCGGTGAAGAATTACTTCTTCCACAAAAACAGCGACAATAACCACTGGGAAGTTTGTTGTAAGGCGGTACTTCGAATGACCAAAAAACCAAAAATCAGCCACCACAATTCACCATGGGTTGTGATGGCGTGGGTTGCCCACGTAAGCCACCTTAGCTTGAATTCATTGTGTTAGTAGCCTTACTAAGGCCCCTACGTACAACGAACTTCATAACAAAATGTTATCATTGCAACCTATCGTCGTTTAGGCGCATTAGTCATCGTCAATGCGCCGACATAATTGACACAAATGCACGAAATGCATGTAAAACTACGTGAGATATCGCACGCGTGGATGACTGCTCTCTATGCCACTACACACCTATATATGATGAAGAGGCATGCTGGGACATGATACGAGTTGAGATTGGTGTGGTACTATGAACCCCACAAGCAAAGAGTGCTAAGAAACAGTACACTCTTTTACGAATCCAAAGCCTTAGGGGCCCGTGCAGCAGCTATACGTCTCGTGTCCACAGTCGCACAAAACTCAGCGATGTTAGCCGTGCCTTCAGCAGCTAACGCCACCGTCATGGAGTCCTCTATAACTCTATCCCAATGAGCTCGTAAAGCAGTACCCTCCTGGCCTGCCCGCGACATTGCCGTCAGCTGGTCGCATATGGCCGATATCGAGCGCAGTAGAGGTCGAGAGACTTCTACCTGAAGGCAGCCGTGAGTTGACAGAAACCAATTCAAATACAAGCAAACGAACAAGTAGAAGCATAGATGTAACCAGAGGATTCAGAGATGTTCCATACGATCACAGAATGGCATCGATTTGGGGACGACATTGCATGCAGCCAACGGACTAGGCTCGCATACCGAATCACGAACACACGCAGGACGAGTAAACAATTAATCTCTGAGGAGAGTGTTGGAAAATATGCACATGGTCAACCGCATATGCTGGTGACAATATGAAAATTCTGAGGAAATTTCGGAAAATTTCTCATCATTCCTGCCCGTTTCTGCCACGATTCGGATGTAGACTCCCATCGTTAGTGAAGAAACTCCTGAGTCCAGCTGGGGAAAGCTAGCATAGATTCCAACACTCCACGAGGGCCTCACCTCCTGACGTTGGACAGCTCTTATATACTCCAACAACGATTCGACCTTCTTGTTGAGCATCGCGATGGCACCCAGTGTCGGCTCCACGACATGCTCATACGTACCAGCAGCACTGGCCTGTTTAGCATTCTTAGTCACATGTGATACCGCGATGTTCTCAGCCTCATCCTCCATACACACCCTCACATCCAATTCTATAAAACTACCATCAACACTCTTCTCAAAGGCTTGGATCGGCAACGTCTCGCTCTCCTTACTCAACCAAGCCATCTCATTATCAGACCGGACCACTAGTGCGACCAAAGACTCGGCCCCTTCATCACCAACGATGCCCTCCATAAAGGCATGTACCTCATTTGAAGGCGGACCCCCAGCCGCCACCGAATACCATCCAACAGGGGTGGAGTTGGGGAAAATCTCACCATACTGTCGAATCCGTGTGCATGCGTGCTGAACACATACCATCTCATCCGTTACACATTGGAAGCTATTGGTGATGACAATGTCGGCACCATCAGAGTACCCGATTAGAAAGCCCCGCACTGCACTGACCGACTGATCTGCATAGGATACCCGAGTGATGTGGTCCGAGATGTTGAGCAGGGCCAGAGGGTGTACTTTTACACTCACAGCACGGCGATTGGACATGTCTTGAAAACACTGCAAAGATATCACTTTCTTGAAAAATACCTAACAGGTTTAGGGTGGCAACAAACGACCTGGGCACCCTGAGCATTCACGTCTAGATAGCATGCTTAGGCTCATTACATCAAGCGAAGTTTCTATTTCGTGAGGTGTCTTGCTGTTACTACCATCCTTCCCCACCCTGAGCTCGCCGAGGCAGCATGCCCATGACTAGACATAATACCAGTGTGGAGTTCTGAACTACTACTGAGTTATGACATCCGAGTTCATAGTGCTCCCTTACTGGACAGAGTAGCAATTCCCTACCAACACCCCAACTCCTAGTACGCCTCCTCCTCTACTCATTACAATGTAACACACTCAACGAGACTACCCCAGTAGTGGCAATGAGGAAACTTTTACGTAGTATACTTCGACGTTGTTACTAAGTACATCCGAACTGTGCGAATACCTCATCGGCAGCTTGGTAAATCGGCTGGACCTCATCTCTTATGAAGCCAATAGCCGCAGGCGGGGCTACTCCTGATATCAAAGACCTCCCCGACACGTGACCCCACAAGAACTCCCTACGGCCTCGTTTGCACTGGTAGTTCACTTCTCGGTCAAACAGCTCTTTGTCCGTCACAACGAGCATGTCATCTGGCGATATCCTCTTGGCAGTCTCCGCGAACATGTTAGTACGGAATCTGCCCACACCGAATTTACTACGGCAAGCAGCAGCCCACTTAACCTACAGCTGAGCAAGGCGATAAACGGAAGGCGAGTGGTGCCTCATAAGGCACTGTAGCTCCCACAGTGACGTCAACGGTATTATCTAAAAACAACATGATACCATCATCGCGGCAAGAGATTCCCAACGGACCTTCACGGCCTCATCAAGGCTCATCTCGTCCTTCCATGGATCCTCCTCATACCTCGCCTCTACCATGTAACCTCTTTTTACGATAAGGGCACCGTTAACTCTTACCTGCTCCATCAACCTCCTTCCGAGAGGCTTCTCCCTGGTCATGTACCAGGCCCCTACAGGATGCTGGATTCCTCTGCATTATCGTATACGCTGCCGTGACTAGCCACATCACCACGCTGTGAGACCGCACCTGAGGAACCACAACACCTACCACTCAGCAGTTCGGTATATTCACAAGATATGAGACCACCAGAGCACCATCAAAGGTTTAAGACCCCTCACCAGCATAGCACAGCGTAACAGCTTCTTAGCAAAAGCAGCAACACTGCTTCCGGGTAGCATGGGCGACTTTAAAGCCAAGAGCAGCAGTCGAAGGAAACGATGACGGTACGGTAAGACGAGTGTAGCTGGCGTGAGCAGGGCGTAGAGTCGCGAGTAGAAGGCTGATAGACTATTGTCTATGTACCTACGATAACAACTCCCCGACATGCCATACTCGTATCATAATACCCCAGCGTAATTGCCAAAAACATTTCATACATTGAGGAGCAGCATACTCACTAAACGAGACGAGTTGGAGATGCCACTTGAGCCCCAGCGAGCTAGCATTCGGGTTTAACAGGGAGAGAGAGTTCGAAGTTCCCAACACTACGATGGATCTCCAATATTAGCTTGGGTGAGGAGGTAGAACAAACCACTTAGGGCCAGCACACTGTTGGTGGTATCCTCTGTAGTGTCGCTTCCATCAAAGGCCTAAAGGACCCCTCGGCCAGGTATCCATCTCGCCTACCTACCTTGAAGTAGAAGTCACCCAAGTACTGTGGTGAGGGTAGGTAAGGGAGCACATTACTAGGCAAGTGACGCAAGACCAAACGCATGAGGTCCGATGACAGGTCCAAACGGAGGAATGCCAACCTATACAAACACAAACTCCCACCTATTGATTTATCTCATTCTACTACCACGCCTCCTGGAACGCCTTCCGTAAGCTGACAACACCCTTGCAGGCCGCCTTGCCCGCCGTATCGAGAGGCTCAGTCTGGCATATGCCTTTGGATGGAGGGGCATAGGCCTCCAACAGCGTATAGATCCTCTCTAGAATCTCCTCCTGGTCCACACCAGAGGCCTCCACTGCTGCTATTACAGGTCGAGTATTGCTAGTCTCGACTCCAGCCAATGCGGTGCATACCAACCTCAGGTAGGACAGTACTCGAGTGTAGACATCCCAGTGTGTGTTGGCGAGCTCCCCAATGAAGACAGCAGCCGCATAGTCGGGGTCATAGACGTTAACGATAATTGACAGTAGAGTTGACTGTAAAACCTCCGTAGGGAAGCTCTGTGCTATATCGCGCTCAGATTTGATGGCTTCCACCATGAGTCGGCTGCCCAACGTGATGGCCTGCTCGGACTGCGACTGTAGCAGCTGTTCCAGCATAGACTGCAAAGCCCTCCAGTACTGGTCCAAGGAGGCGTCACTGCTATGTTTAGTATAGACCAGCCCACCGGCCTTCACTTTATACACGCAACATGTCCTCAGAGCCGCCTTGAGCCTAGTGGCCACTGTAGACAAGGGCACATCCCCTTCGATAGCAAGAAGCCTAAATGGTCAGGCATCGTACCGCAATGGACACGCTGGTGTCTTACCGTCTGGCGGCTCGGAGGTCGCCCTTCGCCACTATAGTGTCTATATCCGCCTTTGTGAGCTCCTTAGTCTGCTTATTAGGAGGAGCAGCAGGCATGGCAACAACTAATATGGACCGCCGTCATTCTAGTGAAAACATGTATGTCTTAAATAGCTTTCCATGCGGCCCAGGACCGCAGCATTTACTATCAGTTGAGTTCGACTGAGTTCACAGGATGGTTCGTTCAAGCCAGTGCGCTTTCATCTGCAATGACCCATAACAGTATCGACATGCTATTCGTGCCCCAAGCGGTGACCATAGGTGAATCACGTGGCGCGCGCTAAAATACTTAGTATAGCGCGCGCCCACGACTAAGCGCGACTTGGGTTTTGCTCGGCTGGCGGCGGCGACCCATACAGAATGAACTCACTGTTGGCAGCCATCTTTTGGGAATGCATGACAGTTCTTGGTCTAACGTGATCGATATCATTAGACTTATTCTCTCTCTTCAAGTGAGCCCTCCCAAAGAGCCCGGAGCCTATCTCAGTGTATTCCGCAGATACTTGCCATCGCGGAGGGGACCAAGACGGGGGAGAAGGCCGATCCCTCGACTAGAGGCCCCACCATTGGAGATGTACTAATGGTTTGGTAATTTCGTGGCGCGTGACGCTCACATTTCCACAGGTTATCCCGGGTCTGAATGTAGAGCCTGGATCCTACTTGATGCCCCTTTGGGGCGTCATCCTCCTCGTCGTAGCACCCTCTTGCCTTGGCCTGTCCTGGGGCCTCATAGAGGTATATTATCTCACTACTAGATTATCAGAACTAAGTCATTATCAGATAACACGATTATATAAGTTGCCCATTGATGGTAGCGGCGTTAACTACTCCTCTGACTCTGCTTTGGACTCGGGGGCCTCAACGGACGGGTAGTACCATTGGCCAATCCGGGGCCTATACGGGGAGGTGCCTATCAGGGATTCGCCTTTGCTGGGGAAGTCCAATGCCGTTGGTAAGTCCCTCAAGATGATGAGGGAAGTTAGTGCTCATATTGCCGACGGAGCCACTGCCTTCCTAATAGAGGAGTACAAGTAGGCCGGCACTAGCTTCGCTCCGCCTTGGAATTTTCAACCAGGTACCTTTTTGTCTACGTTATAGTATTTGGTATTGTTATTGGAGTTATCACCAGCTGGTTCGCGGCTCTGTCCTTTTTGGTCGGCGCCATAACTAGCTGCCTCGCGGGCTTCATAGGCATGCGGACCGCAGTCTTCTGCAACGTAAGTAGTCCTTATACTAGGCCCACCTTCCTTGCAGTCTCCTAAAGGTCCGTACTGCTCATGAATGTTGGAAGAGGCTGCGGAAGGGCTATGAGGTAGCTATACGAGGAGGGTCAGTGATGGGCTTCACCCTAGTGAGGTAATAGGGCCAACACCTGGATGTGGTCTACGCTGTTTTTTCAGTCTTGGGGTACTCACTGTTTTCGCCCTCGTAGCACTGCTTAATACGATAATGAAGTTTGAGAATTCAGGAAACAGCTATGACGGACCGAGCATACTATTTGAGGCCCTTGCTGGGTAGTTGCAATGCCCTCGTTGTTTCTCGTGGTCAGCTGGGGTACTTCCTTATTGGGGTAAGGTACGGTTTAGGAGGCTCCTCTATAGCCCTCTTCGCTCGAGTCGGCGGAGGTATCTATACTAAGGCAGCTGATGTCGGGGCGGATCTAAGCGGTACTTCAGCCTTTCGAGCATATGAATGATGTGCTCGTGTTATGGTAGGAAAGAATGAATATGGTATGGACGAGGACGACCCACGCAACCCGGCTTGTATTGCAGATAATGTTGGTAGGTTTAGTAGGAGCATTATTGTCCCATAGGGCCCTGCCCTGTTTACAGGCGACAACGTTGGCGATATCGCTGGCATGGGCGCTGACTTGTTCGGTTCCTTCGCTGAGGCGACATGTGCTGCTTTCGTACTGATTGGGAAGTACGTGAAGCTTATAAGGCGGCCTTTGAGGGGGTTGTTTCAGTTCTACATTGTCTCATCTCGATATCTACGAAGCTCCGATAATGTACCCGTTGCTTATCTCCTCATTGGGTGAGACTACTGTATAGCTCTGCTTTCTGTGATAATGGTATGATACTAGGTATATTTGTGAGTTGGATGACAGTACTAGTGGTCCCCCTTATCACGCCTGTTAAGGACATTGAATGCATTGAACGGTCATTGAAGTAGTAGCGAAGGGTTCTTGGGGGGGCACTGAGTTGAGTGTGGTCAGGGCCTTACTGTTCGTCTCGACCTTGTTGATGACACCAGCTATTGTTGGTCTCTCCTACGTGTGTTTACCACAAGAGTTCATGGTTGGTATTCGGTCTCCTTTGCTGCCTCGGAGTCTTAAGGAAGAAGATGCAGGGAAGATGGTCGAATGGTAGTAGTGGGGAGGGGGTATCCTCTTTATCCAGGCATGGCTATCCTTGTAAGGTACGCCTGTATGGTATCGGTCATAATGGGCCTATGGTCGGGTCTCCTCGTGGGGTTGGTCACAGAGTAGGCATGGTGTGGTATCAGGAAGCTACATGCTATCATAGGTACTTCACGAGTCATAGCTACGGCCCAGTGAGGGACATAGCTCGCAGTCAAAGGACCTCTGCCGCTACTGGCATCATATACGGCCTGGCTCTGGGGTGACACGTTGCATGGTGACACGGCTGCTGTATTGGGATCACGTCTTAGTTACCTCTCTACTATCGTGCCCGTCCTGGCCCTCAGTGTCACCATACTGGTGTCACATGAGTTCTGTGGTATGTACGGGATCGCCTTGGCTGCCCTAGGTGAAGACTGTCTTAGCTGCTCCTTCTCACTCTACTGTTGCCTCTGCTTAGGTATGCTTTCTACATTATGTGTAGGGCTGGCAATAGATGCCTACGGTCCAATAGCTGACAATGCTGGAGGCATAGCTGAGATGTCTAATCTCGGCCCATCTATCAGGTAGGAAGGTCTTGGTGCCTTTGAGGATGGCCAGTGTAATGAGCAGGCGACGGACAGACGCCTTGGATGCTGCTGGCAATACCACAGCTGCAGTAGGCAAGGGGTTTGCGATAGGGGGCGCGGCCTTGGTGGCATTGGCCTTGTTCGGCGCCTTTTGCACTAGGGCTAATATTGACAAGGTGGGGGGTCTTAACCGTGATGTGGAAAAGGAGTGGTATGTAGGTTAATGTATTGAATGCGTGGACCTTTGCTGGGATATTGTACGGCGCTATGATGCCGTATGCCTTCTCGGCGCTGACTATGAAGTCCGTGGGGAAGGCCGCTACGGACATGGTGGACGAGTGTATGAGGCAGTTCCCTAAGATCATCAACGGCGAGGCACCCCCTGAGTAGGTTAGAGTGCTGTTGGAGGCTGTATTGGAATATACGGTCGCACTTTCGCAGCTGAGCTCGGGAGTTTCTCCACTAATTACAAAAGTTTGCTTGCGAATTCTGGTAGAAGTATACAGGAACCAACCGGAATTCCCTCAAAATTTTCATATTGTCACCGACGCATGTAGTTGGCCATGTGCATATTTCCTCACACTGCTTTCAAGGTGACCATGGTATACACTTTTCCCATTGGTCATGGGGTTGAGGATGTCATTGGCCCCTCTATGGGGAAGAGGATGAAGCCAACGCTGCTGTGCTTGTCAGTTACACACGCTGTATATCAATCTCAACTTCGGCCAGCCTGAAGGAGATGATCTTACCCGGGGCATTGGTGATCTTATCTCCTCTGGTGTTTGGTATACTGTGTGGGAAGAATGCTACTGCTGGCCTTCTCGTTGGGGCGCTCAGTTCTGGAGTGCAGATGGCCATCTCTATGTCCAATACTGGCGGGGCATGGGACAATGCTAAGAAGTAGGGACGCACATCCTGGGTTGTTTTACGTCTTGGGCAGGTTTATCGAGTCCGGTGGTCTTGGCCCTGAACACGGCAAAGGCAGCGCTGCACATAAGCACGCTGTGACAGGCGACACTGTGGGAGATCCACTGAAAGACACCTCGGGGCCTAGCCTGAATATTCTAGTGAAGCTGTCGGCCATCATTTCCCTAGTCTTTGGGAGCATCATAGACATACGCTTCTCGAATAGCAGTGGTGGTCCTATCTGGTTGAGGCCCAGCTCTTAGGCGTAGCTGTTGTGATAGTGAAGTGATGTGGGGCATGGGAAGGGTGTGGTGCTTTGCACAAGTTGGTCATGAATGTGTTGGGTTCAAGTTCTCGTTTAATGGGGTGATCAGTTTTTGCCATGGCGGCACCGAGTATCCATCGGTCTCGTGTGATATGTCCGGAGCTTAGAGAGACCGGACACTGTTCCCAATGGATGGCCTGCCAGTATAACCACAACATGTACGCTCAATCGGGGTGGTCGTTAGTGGTAGTACTGACGTCACGGGTAGCATCTGGGGAAGATCAAGTGTCCAAATTTCTTCTGGTTTATGGTATATACCATGACGTTGTAGTGAGAAATTTTCTAATGCGGTGGATTAGACTGATGCTGAGACGGTTTTCTTCTCGACGATTTGCGCGGATGTTTGGTTTTTGAAACTAGAACTTGCTAGCTATTGTAAGGTTGTGCTCGGAACACATACCGCATGTGTTGCTCTTCGTGTTAGTCCCAAGATGCCGACGACGACCCCATCGGTCCAACAATCCTGTCCTAGTGGATTGAGCACTTGGAGGGGAAGGTGCTGACTGTGTGCATACACAGTTGATCGCCTTGTAATGGTGGTTTTCTCTTCCAGGGGTGGCAACTCTGTCCCTGTGGCCCCTAAGGGCTCAGCCCCTAGTCCCATAATTAACGGCTATAGTGAATGGAAAGGGAGGCGTGAGAACTGTGGCGAGGGAGGGGATGATAAAGGAAGTAGAGGCACGTTTGATGATGGCAAAGGGGCGTATAAGGGCGGTAAGGGCAAGGGATCCTGCCGGGAAGATTTGAACCTGGGTGATGGTCATCCGGAGGAGAGGTGCGCAGGAAAGCAGTCGTGAGGTTGGCATGCATTGTCTATCAGGACCCGTGGTAATGCGACGGATCTCCTACCTATGTTCCAAGACCAGGGCACCTCCTCGCATGGTAAGGCTTCGGGCCAGCGACAAGCTCAGGCGTGCGCTCCCTATACACAAGGTAGTGTAGTTTCGGATGTCCACAGGCTCTTTGGCGGGCTCTAACAGGTATAGGAAAAGAGCTGTTGGCTGGTAAAGGCCTGGCACTGGATCAACAGCCCAGTCTGGAACATCTAAAACAGGAGTGGACCATGCTCCAGCATAAGGTAGGGACTTAATTATAGAGGGAGATATTGTCGGCAGCTGGAACAGCAAAGGAACGAAGGGCGAGATTTGATGCTGAATGCTGTTGTTGGTCCGGAGGAAGGGTTGACCAGGGTGATGCAAATCAGGACTACCGCCTGACTTACGTCTTGGATCAGGAGCGACATGTGGAGGGTGATAGTCCGCAGCAGCAGCAGCAACCGGAAGGGTATGAGGATACCTACCCCGACCAGTACCCTAGAGGGCAGGTAATGGCACTTGGCTTGTGAGTTGGAGTTGGCTACTCGTGTACAGCCTGAGGGTCGTGGGTATCAAGGGGATGTTCGGTCGCCTCTTACTGGGCATGTTGGCATGGCCTCTCTGCGGGGGGTCATGCAGCATCCTGATGGTCAAGGGTATGGACAAGAGCAAGGTCAGGTGGCGCAGCAGGTGATAAGTTTGTGATGATGTGGGAAAGGTGTGGTATGGATTAGGCTCCTCCGCAGGAGCCAAGGTCTCTAATAATAGGATATGAACATATGGTGGGGGCGGGTATGAATCGAGGGCAAGAGCAGCCGGTAGGGTGAGGTTGTTGAGAAGGGGGTGATGGTGTGGGGTTTCAGCCGGTCCAAGGTAGCAGAGAGCAGGCTCACTATGCAGGGGAATATCAACAACAACAACAACAACAACAACAACAATCTCAAATTGATAATGATGTCCACATGTATGTGTTTCAGGCTTTGAGGGTATTGTCCAAGCTTGCTCCTGTTTAGGGTTCCCTATGTTGGCTATGATGGCCACTCGAGAGGGCAGGCAGGGGCACTTTGGGAGGATTCCGGTAGGCTCATGACGCTGCAGGCTGTTTTACAAGGAGTGTACGGTGTTTAGAGTGGAGATCTCAACGTGGTGGTGGTGGTCTGCGTGCCTCGAGAAGGGAAGACTTTGGACCTGACCCTTGTCGAACCCTCAGTCAAGTGAGTCTACCATTCGGCTGTAGTTGATGAGAGTTTGAGGAAGATGCGCGATAATGAGTCGAGGCAGCAGCATGATGGGGCGTACTACTACTCTGAGGACTTGGTTGATGACCCCACGAGGAGGGTGAGGTGGTGTGATGATGGCAGGCCTGGTGGAGAGGCGTGGTTAGGCTGTGCCACCTGCGAGGCCGGAGTCTCATCAGCACTCTGACGGTTATAGGAGGCAATGGATGCATCATGCACGCGAGGTGGCAATGTGTGGTGAACGTCGTCCGGCTGAGCACCTCTATTGATTAGGAGCCCCACTGGGTCGAGTCCCGCCGCTGGAGTGACCGTGACCGCCTTCCAGCTGAGTCTCGCTACGATACGCAACGCCCTGGGGATGGGTCCGTACGGTGGGCCCATGAAGGGCGGACCTATCGAGATGACATCCAGCAAGTGCGGGAGAGTCGGGATAGATTCACCAAGTCAAGATCAGTAGGGGGAGAGGGCACTGGACAGAGAGCCGTGGAGGTCTTTGTAGGCTCCGTGGTATGTTCGACCTGTCTTGGGCCATCGAGAAATGCCCAAGTTCTGGTTCGAGGCTACTGAACGGAGGTGGTAGTAGGAGTGGTAGTCAGTGGTCTGGAATCATGTTGTTGCTACATAGGATTGTGTTCCTGGATGATGCCGAGCAGGTGGTCTCAATCCCCTTTGACCTTCCAATAGAGAATCCGTACAGGGGGTGAGGGGCGATCCACTGGCTGAGAGATTGACTTGCTGGTGGGTCTTAGCCTAACGAAGGGGGATGTTGGAAAGATGTCCGTGAAGGAGCTCAGGGCGTTGAGGGCCGAGCGGCAGCAGGAACGTCTACGGTTGGACGAGAGTCGACAAGAGTAAGGGAAGGGGGTCCGCTGGTGTTATGTTAACTGTACTTGTTTTGTATAAGGAGCATCACTGCGTTGCGAGATGTGGTTACCCGTACCTACCATTTGGAGTATGCACCTGTGGTGGAACCTCATCCTAGGATGCTCTGGGGCCTCGAGGGCCTCGATCGCCCTGCCCCTTGGAGGTCCGCACAGGATGACTTAATTAGTTTCGATAGGAAGTCAGCGAGCTCGTCTGACCATGGTCAGAGGTATAATGCAACAACGCCGGTGAGTGCGGAAGAGTGGACCTTTCTATGGTTGATAGTCTTGTTATTCACATTACCTCAGTGATAGGGATATGCGAAGTGTATGTGTGCCAGGTTCTCACGCCAGATGATCGAGACATGCTTCCTGGACCACCCAGTCCGCCAAGGTCGATGGGACCTCCCCTGATGGACTCTGTATCGTCTCTATGCAGTCCTCATGTGGAAGCCTTGCGGAGTGTAATAGGAATGGGCGTACTGATAGACTATCGTTGGCAAGCGGTTGAGCTTAGCTATTGCTATTGGTAGTAGAGCATCTTGGTGCATCGTTGAATGTGGGGCTAGCTGGGGAAGGAGTGGTATATGGCGAGGGAGAGGCGCTTCTTTTTATAGATCCAACAATGGGAAGATGACCGCCAGGCCGACTCTGTACCGGATGGCTGCTGCCCGATGTGTCATGCCAAGTTCCCAGATGAGGGTAGGACTATCTGTTCACAAGTGCGAGACGTAGCCGAACTAGATTCGTTACAGCAGCATGCGGAGAATTGCAATGATCAGTGCCCGGAGAGGACGGAGGGACCAGGATCGAGGCCAGGGGTGGGCCATCCAGTGATGGTCAAGAGCTCCTACACTCCAGATCTTGGAGAGCATGACAATCAGGTAGGCTTGGCGAGGAGCAAATCTCATCTCTGTTTTCCAAACGTCGCAATAGCATGGGAAAATGTTGACAATTACTTCATGCACACTGCCATGCCCAATTAGCTCTGCAGTGTTGAGCTTAAGCGTCATGGATCGTTTGTGATTATCATTGGATGAAAGGATCGCCTTATATGAGGGCTCATTGGTGATGTTAGCTGTCCGTGGGGGTCGGTGATGAGGTCCTACTCACGGAGCTGGACGAGGATAACTGCGGTTGGACTCTGGTGAATAAGGACGGCATCGTGGGTTGGGTCCCGACCGCCGTGTTGGACCTCGAACCTCCACGACGACTACGACCAATATTGCAGTGGTAACTTCTACCTGGAGTTTTGTTGACTGTGATTGCCTCCTTAATGAATGGTTTCTCTCTATACATCTCCTGTTGAGCTTGGATGTGGTTCATCTCACTCTAGTAGTCGTGTGTCGGTCGCTTGTATGTCCTCGGCTATTGAAGGGGAGGAGGTCACGGTCGACAGCTGCATCGAAAAGCTCGCCATTGGTGACTATGATGCGTGGGCATTTTCCTATATACCATCCTTGTGGCAAATTAGTGACTTTGGTATGGTATAGGTATGTGCGGGGAATACAGTTTATTGTGGGCGGCAAGGAGGAGAGGGAACTCGACAGTTACCAGAAGGAGCAGAGTCGTCAGCTTATTCGTCGGGCAGAGGAGACGGCCTGTGCCATAGCCTCCAACGGGGGACAGCAAAATGATGAGGTCCTCGAGAGGGTAAGCTGAGTGTCCCTCGTCGGAGAGAGGGAGGTTTAGGGATGGCTTTCAGCGTTGGTATCAATGTAGTTATGATCAGATTAGAGGCATGGTTTTGAGAATTCCGAATACTCTGGCCATGTTGACGGTAGACTGGGAGAATCCCTTTTACATCGCCAACTCTCTATTGGCTGTTGTACGAGGGTACATCCAGGGGAAGTTTGGTAGGTGTGCTCCAATGCATTCTGCTGGAGGTAGGGTGATGATGGTCAGGTCAGTACGAGGGTATTAGGGATGTCAAGAAGAGCCTCAAAAATACGAGGGCGTAGGAAAAAGGGGATAAATTTCTGGGCTGATAGTTGATGGCCGGCAGGTTCCATCGCTTCATCGAGGGCTGTGGTGTCCTCAAGCGATGGTATGCTATAGACTTGCGACTCTGGACGATAGTCCTGCATGCGTAAGGCGGTGTTGTTACATGGAAGGATGGTACTTGGTGTAGGTATGGTGATAGAATGGTTACTAACATAAAGATAACAGTACAGGAGGAGGCCTCTGCTCTGGCGGCAGATTACTCCCCTGAGGTGCTGAAGGAGAAGACTCCGATACATGAGAGAATCAAAATGGTAATAATTGACTTTAATACTCGTTGTGATTAGTCGGGTTGCGGAACTCAGTGTTGGGCATTCTATGGGTCCTCAAAAGAGTTATCACTTTACTAGGGTTATGGACTTTTCTTAATGTAGCGATGTTCGTATGTTTTAAAATTATACGGCAATGGCGATTTAAATTTACTCACTTTCGAAGTTCGACGACTTACACTGATATAAGCCTATGATGGATAATCACTTCATCAGTCATATTCATCTTACCGCCCATGTTACAACTATAACTTAAGTGATACTGCTAGTTGTAGCATATGTGGTATAAGGAGTATTTATATGGTCTTGACCGACTGTAACCGTATGCTAATAGGTTCTCAAGTCAGACCAGAACGAGGTGTCATCATCGAGCCAGTCTAATCTCGATGGCGACTCCTTTGTGAAGGTCATCAATGAGCTCGGTGCCTGGTGGGTTGATGTGGAGGCTCGGCTTTTCGGTGAATGCCTCTGCCTATCAGGTGCATTGTGCCTGAGATCGATTTTGTGCATCGTTTTGGTAAGAAGGGGGACTCTTGGAGCCGTTTGAGGACTTCGTTGATGCCACTTCTGAAGCGGGTGGAGCACGGCTCAGCTTTTCAGAAGCGCTGTGTCCTATACCTGATTAAACAACATATGTGGGTTTACTGCCTCATCGATGGTGGCAAGTTTATGGTGGATAGGTTTGAACACAATAGCAGGAAGAAGGGAGCAGTGAGTGGTAAGGATAGGAGTAATGCTATAGAGCCCTCGCAGAAGGATGTGGAACAAGCATGCATTGCGGTAGGCTTATGTTTTGCCTTTTATGTCTATGCTGATGGTCTTCGAGGGGAGCTTATCGGGCCAGTGGTGTTGGTTTTGAATAGGATTAATGAGTGTGGTGGAAATGTGGACCTGGACAAGAGAGGTCCGGCACTGTTGCTAGTGTTCACTTTCAGTTCAACTTCGACATTACGGAGATGTCGAGTCCTGATGATCCCTCGGAGTTCCGTACGGACGATGTTGACCAGTTTTATTCCAAGTTGCGGAGAGGGTGGATGCTGGACATGATCGCCTCCTTCAACATGACGGCTGATGACATCATAGACTTCTTCGGTGAGGCCACTGACCGGTAGTGTGCTGAGGGTAGCACTCGTAGGTGACGATGAGAAGCTACTACGGGGGGCATTTAATAAGTACGGCCATATGGGGGATGCGGCGTCGCAAGCTCAGCTGCTCCTGGCAAACTCAGAGCTGCGTCGTGCCGTGGGGAGGGATGTTGGCGAGAATCCTGTAAATAGTCGATTCTCAGCGTGGTTACGTGATTGCCTTAGTAGGCACTTGAGTACTACCTCTCCATTATGAAGTACGGCTGTGGAGATCCAGGTAACTATCAGGACGTGTTCGGCCCATTGAGTGAGGAGTGTGATGAGACCAATGACAAGTACTTCTGGCTTCCTATGTACATCGATCCTCCAGGTAATAATAATGACATAGTCAGGCTAATGTGCCGGTCCTTGAATCGCCTCATTGAAGGTGTTTATCGTCGTAGTATATACAGTATAGCAGGGCTATGTTATAGTGATAGTAACAGTACGTATTGTACTGTAGTATTTGTGTCATGTTCTTGACGCCTCTATGTGCGAATACATCGTGTACGTTCTTGTTACCCTGTTACAACTGCATTGTTGAACGGGGGAGTGACGACTTTACGCTGGTCGATATCTTTCAGGAGTAGACATGGATGATCTGTCCTCTCCCGATGCCTATGCTGTGCATATGATCGAGAGCATCCACAGGCTCAGGGAGTTGGAGGAAATTCTCACCACATTCCAACCTGGAGAGGTATAGCCCTATGTAGCCCTCGGTGTAGCGGTATTGTCTAGTCTCAGTCACCATACCGTTCTATCGCTTTTGATGTGTTCTTCCGCTGTGACATCTCCCTCTTCCTGGAGCGACCGGCGCCGGCTATTATAGGGATTGCTACTTCAACGAAAGTGTAGGGTCGCTGTAGCCCTTTGGGGCTTTGATATTGTTGTTCTCTGTAACAGGTTTTTGATAATGGTGAATCGTATCATCAGTACAGATCAGTCCTTCAACGGCTCAGAGGGTCCGAAGGCTATAAGGCAGTTCCTCACCTCGGTTCTCTGTCATCCAAATATCCTCAAAGTTGTTTACGGCATTAACGCGGCTAACTACGCGAAGTTGGTCGTACTCCAGCATGTTTTGGTGGAGGAGAAATTCAGCGATGATGTGCGGGAGGACGGTGTGGTCATCCAGCCTCTCTTTGACGTCAGTGCTGGCTACCCAAATCCTCTGCATGTGGAAGTACGGGAGAATCTCGCCGGAAGTAAGATGCTGCATTTGCGGTATGGTAGTAGTACGCGGGCTATTTTCAGTACGATTGTGCGTGGCTGAAGAGATGAGTAATTGGGATAGGCGACCATTCCTGCGGTACTCTCAGCTGCACTATGCGGCCTCTAGGCTTTGGCTAATCTATATGGTAGGTAGTCTTCGGTGGCTCAATGTTAGGGCGAACGCTGTTGTAGTTTTGACCGCTCTGTTGTCAGCTGTACTTGACCGTACCGTGTGATAAGGTTGAGAAGAAGTACATTCAACAGATCGATACGGCGGAGGTGTATGTATCAGGATGTAAGCAGTAGGATGTGGTCGTGAATACGCAAACTCTAGCTGTGTTGGAATTTATGGATGCTTTCCTCAGCTGAGCTCGGGAGTTTCCTCACTAGTTATGGAAGTTTACACGTGAATGCGGGTAGAAGTGTAAAGAAATCAACATATTCCCCAAAATTTCATCGGAATTTTCATATTGTCAACAATATAGTAGTTCACCATATGCGTATTTTCCATCACTGATTCACCGTGAGCTGCTCTCGGTGATTTTCTGGTTTAGGCGATTCTCGTGGATATAGCCGTAATAGTCCGAGTTTGACGACACCAGCGGACCTGGATGATGGTGTTACTGTAGCAAGCTGGATGGCTCATCACAATGAGGAGCTACGACAGTGCAGGAAGAGGTATAGCTTCCTGGGCCCCTTGGGGTCGTTCTGTCCGGCTTGGACGACAACAATGTTGCTACTGTTAGGTACGACAGTATGCGTGGTGAACGTATCCGAGAGAACAGACAGAGGTGGGAGGAAGATGAGAAAATACTGCGAGGAGAGGACTACTTGGATGCCACGGCGGTTGGTGACGGTAACCTGCAAAATTCGGATGATAATTATGTGAGTCTGGAGGGCGTCAGGATTACATTGTTCAAGCACATGTTTATATTACAGTGCTCTTAGGGAAAATTCAGTCGATAGTTTTTTTTCACGAAAATTCGCTGAGCTGTGCGGACTGAATAGCAGTCCGAAGACCTAAGACGTTGTTGTGTCCCAATGGAGTTATTCCTCCTCAGAAGCCACCTGTCCGAGCTCCTCTCGGTACTCTTATACATCTGACTTGAGCGCAAGCGTGACAGGTGATGTCAAGTTGATGTGAACAGCAATCGTACGTTACTTTTCTGGCTTCAAATTTGCCTTGTGTTCATTCATGTCGCTGGCGATTGGCATCAGGTGAAGTAGATCTGACCAACTGGATGAGGACGAATCGTTTTGAGTGCGATGAATCTGATCGTGTATTGTTTGACAGTTTGAATGACTTTCCCTCGGGCTCTTGCAACCGATGGAGATTTTCTATGGATGGGAGCCCGTTGTGGGAATGATCAGTTCTCAGTTTCATTCAATGCTATTTTAAGATGTTTGAGGCAGTGACATTACCTTGTATTTCTTCAGCAGCAGCCGATTGTTGTTCCTCCCGAGCTGCAACGACTCTATTGTTTCGGGCATTCGTTCCAGTGAGATAGGTTTCGCATTGCACATGGTCCTCGACGAAGTTGCTCAGGTTAGTTCACTCAGTACTTGGCCGAATCCAGTGGGCAGTGTACGGTTCTTATCAACGACATCGCATAAGCCGTACGATAAGGAGCTTCTGAAGGGTATACCTAAGAGTGTAGTTGACGAGAATCTGACTCTTGCATCACTACTCGCATATGGCCGCATGATGTCTAACTTGCCCGGGATCCTTCCATCAGGAAGCCTGCCCGCACTGTCGGATGGTTGCCATGTCCTGCGTGTATTAGGCTGCGATGCTGCATTATGCATTGTTGTCGTCTTGCGTTGATGAGTGGATGGATTTTGGGAGAGGCCACGTAATGTCTAGAGAATGTCCGTCACCTACCTCCGAATCTCACGGCCAGCGTAGCAGAAAACGAAAAAGGGAAGGGTTGGACCAAGGGGCGTGCTGTGACACTGAGTAGATGTGAATCCCAGCGGAATGTGCGGGTCAGCATCTCAATCAGGCTCTCAGAGGAGAGTGGGCCGAGGGCCGATCTGCGCAGAAGCAGACGGTCGAATGTTCGGGGGCAGCAGCGTGTCAGGTACAGTGAGGCATTGAAACGACAGGTAGGGTATCTTGTTGGCATGTCTAGATAGTCATGGTTCCTCAGATGGCCGTAGAGCGATCAGTCCAGCCGGTGATTCGACATCCTGACGCAACGCCGTGGGGAAGCCCAGAGACGGCTCAGTGCAAAGCTGGAAACTCTGAGGGAGTCGCATTCATGCGTGCTGTTTTTACCTATTCTAAGTGCCTTGCCAAGGAGTAAATACCTTGAACCACTGACAATTGTTCTGTAAATGTAGTGCATCGCCTGACTCATATCGATGTTGAATTATGTGGCGCGCGGTAATGACATAGAAGGCTTCTTGTTTCGAGTAACAAGACCGCCTGGCAGTTGTGTTCGGCATGTTCGTCGAGGTTGCTGGCTCTGCCGCCAGGCGGAGCGAGCGGGCGAGACGTATAGGAGGAGCCATTAAGCGGGTGGATGATGAAACGCGGCGTCAAGTGCGTTGGTCACACAATGGCTTCGCACTCGTATGCTCAGGTTGCTGAGTCTCGGCTACTGGCACTGGAGCGTGACCAGGCCTCGGGGGCAGTGGACACGTACGACGCTGCTGACGACATTGGAGACCCGAGTGATGACAGCGATGTGCCACAATCCGGACGAGGTTCCCAGGGTGCCTATTGACATGCTCGTGGATCCTCCCTGTCAGAACACTCCGTTATTGGGACCAAACGTGAGCGAAGGACACTGGAGATGATTCTTATTGAGGACCGAGCGGAGGCCGAAAAAAATCGTAAGCAGAATAGCTCAATGCAGCTCTCAGTTCATTTCAGCCAATCCTGTGGACACATTTGAAAACTGCGAGGTTGAGGAATCTCGATACCCTTCAGTGAAGATCTGCAGCGTGTGCCTCTTTCTAGCCAAATACCAGTGTGTTAGATGTGGTACTTTGTATTGCTCCAAACGTTGTCACGATATTCACCAAGAGACCCAATGTATCAAGTTTGCCGAGTGACTTAGTGTCAGTATTGTGTTGACCCCTCATATCGAACACGAGTCAACGATCTCGAACAACACATCAGGGTAGCACATACAATGGGAAATAGTGATGAAGGCGATAGTCTTAATTACTCGATATAGGTCTAGGAGGAGAAGGAGGCTTCATGGACCAAGTCCAGGATTCTCGTTTGGGAGCACCCCCGATAACGCGTGGATTACTAGAGCTCCAACTGCGGTTCGGGAACTCCCTACGCCGCAACGGCACGATCGGTTGAACCACTCTGACCTGTCCAAGGCCAAGAGGCGCTCGGACGATACGCTTGCCTGTCTTTCGTTCAGGGGAGGGCATTCGCTGCACTGAGATGCTATCTCTGTCTCGTATGCCACCGAGAGCGCTAGCCATAGCTCGACTGCTCCCCAGAACGCCGTTGGTGTAGTTGGCAGAAGTCCGCTTACCAACCTTGGCAATCAACTCAGCCTCGTCCGTATCATTGTCGAAGACTCGAGATGTTCGTATCTTCTGAGCATTGGCCCAAGCCTCGGGCCCTCCCACTGGCGTTCGAAGGCTGAGGACGATTCTTGAGTCACTCGGGTTGATGATTTGTGACGCTCTCGCCCGACCAGCGATACTGAGAGCTTCCTCACCACGTAGACGACTCCCTCTAGGCGACAAGCCCAGCTGTGTTACAGGCGATTCGTGGGGCCGAAACATCATCTTCCGGGAAGGCCTCGTGGAAGTGCCGCGATCCTCGCCGATATTAGTCACGTCCTTCACTGACACCCTCACAGGCTTCGTCAGCTTCTTCATTTTCTCAAATTCCACCCGAGCGCTGTCGGGACCAACATGGCTCTTCCCTCTTCGAGGAGGTTCATGTTCAGACGGCATGAATTTCTTGAAGGGTGATGGTACCGACACAATTGGAGATGCCTCTTGGGCGACAGTGTGGTCCATGATACTCGACATCCCATCACAGTCTGCTCGCCGCTTGGTTAGCCCCGCTGGCTGGTCGTCTTCATATCTGATCGCAATGAACACGTGCCCACACGATGACGATCTGTTGCTCATCTCACCTTGGAAGGGGCGCGGGACTCTCTGTCTTTTTCTGAACTACTGTAGGCTGCGGTTGAGTGAGATCTCTACAAGAACCTAGAAGACCACTCCCTTGCATCTGCCTTGTATAAATCTCCCTGGCGAGACTTCGGGGTGATAGCATGACAACGGACAAAATGCCAAATAGACACCAACACGCCCTTCCAGCGACCCACGTATCCACCGCCCAACGCGATCCCTTCTAGTTCAACAACAAATGAGCACATTAGCGCTAAGGTCATGGGGAATTCGTAGGCAGCATCCCACCGAGCCGCATCACTGGCATACGGATCGCGCCGTAGTTGGTAAAGTACTCACGTGGAGACGATTGCGGTGCTGCCAGAGACGAGCTCTCCATCAATAGTGCTTCCGCATTTGCTTGGTCTTGGAGCCGCTGGATTTCCTTCTTGGCCTCAGCGGCCTCGTTCTTCGCCTGCCTCAACTGTTGTCTCAGGATCGTCACCTCGACTCTACTGTTGACCGCGACACGCTCTGGCGTGTGGGGGCTGGTCTCAGAAACTGCAGTGGCCACGCCCGAGTCATCCGAGACGTCTGCTGTGGTCTCGCTAGGACTGTCGTTCTGGCGGCGATCCTGGAAGTCTATATCCGAGAGTAGCTGACTGACATCGTCCCCCCTCAGTGGGCCTCGCGGTCCCCTCCTAGGAGCGCTCTGCTGGGACTTTCGGCGAACCACAGTCAGCAGCCTCCGGCGTGTGTTGCACACGACACAAGGTGACCCCTCGTCATGTGAGAACTCTTCCTCCTGGGTATCGTCTCCCTCCTGGTCCATCCTTTCCAGGAGATGCTCTGCCGTGCCCACCAGTGCCCCCTGACGGCGCTTGAGATTGCTAGCGGCTTGGTGGAGCCTCAGGACGATATTGTCCAAGTCGCGACTATCAGACACGTAGTTGACGCCACTCGAAGGACTCTCAGTCTTCTTATCAGGAGATGCTGATCTCAACTGCTCTATCTGAGCTCGCAACACGTTTATCATTTCCCGTTGCTTAGCGATCATGCTGTGTTCTGCCGAGACATAATGCACCATTGGCTCGGCTGATACTGCCACAGTGGCCGCTCTAGTGGCGAAGCGTAGGGAAGACACTGAGTGCTCTATGACCGACCTCTGGGAGCCAGGATGCAACGTAACGAGTATCGCTGATCTCGCCCCTGCCGAGGGAGAAAGGAACGGCACCAGTAATTGAGTTAGTCTGCTGTCCCTCCAGGAGATGTGAGGGGCCGGCGAGGTGGGGACCGTTGCCTTCTCGAGGCTCCATGAGGAGAGCTTATTGATGGTCTCCCTCAAGAAGAAGAGGCTCTTGTTGATACTACAGGTCTCCAGTCTGTTGGTGATGTCATCGCTCCTCTCACTACCCGCCAGGTCCACCAAACACAAGACGCCTACTCGAGTGAGTTCCTCCTCCACCACCTCCTCCTCGGCGCCGCTAGCGCCCTTGCTACTCTCCACTTTGATAAAGCACATACCGTGACTGCGGCTAGAGATCTCGTTGAACTGAGAGCTTGCCACCGCTCGACGTCGATCCTCCGCCCTCTCCAAAGCAGAGATGATCTCAGCGCTGCTACGGACTATCTTCTCCTTGAGACCTTCGACGTAGAACTCCCCAGGCGACCCCTTGGTGTCCTCCCGAACCGGCAAGTTGCGACTGTCCGGAGAAAAGGGCCGCAGTAGGTCATTTACTCTCTCATTGTAGACCTCCAAATAGGACATCCTCACGAGGTATTCTCTGCTGGGATCGGCCTCAATGAACGCGAATATGTCATCAGCTGCAAAGTGAAGGATCCCTCGAGTTCTTCGGCCGTTTATACGGGAGCCAAACATGGAGTAGGTTTTTCCTGAGCCTGTCTGTCCATAGGCCAACAGAGCCCCGTTGAGGCCACTTTTAAGATTCGATACAGTGTCCTTGAAAACGGCCGCATAGACCTGCTCGGTGGACTCATTGGTGAAGACGTGGTCAGCTTCAACTTGATATTTCGTGTTCCTCTCATGTTTCCTTACAGAGCAAGGAGGTGTGGGGTTGGCCTCTGGTGTTCGCACACTGTTGCGTTGTGATGCCCTCCGCCACTCTACCATAGGCAGAGATATGGACTGGCCTGAGGTATGCCACGACGCTGGAGTCACACCTGAGACGAACAAGGTCACGAATCGCTTGCAAATATCACCATAAGAGGTTACCTTTCGCGATCTCGTCCTCTAGCAAGGGCCGCAGCCTTACTGCCACTTTGATGCAATCGCGGTCGGCCCCAGGGCCGACTTGAGCTGGAGAGTTGCTGTCAGGTTCCATTGTATTCGTACTAAGGATGATACTGTGCTATCGTGAGCCCTATAGAGATTGACGAACTCAGAGTAGAGTGAAGAGTTTATATTCAATGATATCATCAGTAATAGACTACAATGTACGGCAACGGCTCCTCGGCCCTCTCATCCCCACAGCCTTCCTGGGGGAGCAGGAGGTGGCCCTCCTCTTCGCTGCGTTAAGTCGAAAGTATTACGCGCCCGTCCATCCCTAATAGGCCCTGATGGCTGCCCGTCATCATTCCGAGAATTGGCCGTGGAGTGGTATTGATACTTATCGTAGGGCGCACTACGCTGATACCTATACTGCGTACGACCAGCCGGTTCCAACGGCCTAGGTACGTGGACCGACGTCTGTTCTCGCGGTGGTGCTGTCGGGACCGCTCGCAGCGGGTGGGCCGACTTATTGACCCTACCTCGAGAGGAGGGACTACCAGTGGCCGCCGGAGTAAAGTGTTGAATCTGCTCTATCTCCTTCTCAATAGTGGTGGAAGTGGTCCGGTCCATCGCCAGCTTCATCGGCTTAGACATAGGCTTGTCCCCCGATATCTCCTCGTCTCGGCCCTCACCGTGGTACCGCTCGAATATCGCCTCCACTTCGGCCGAGCCTCTGCCCATCACCAGTGGCTGTATAAGACTACGACCCCGGTTCTGGTCCCAGTGGTGGACGTAGTCGCATAGGGTCATCGAGGCATGGAATAGGGACGCTCGTACGGTCCTCCACTGGAAGCACTTATTGCCAATATCAGAGGAAGGCTCCAGAGGGCTCTCCATGCAGATGATATCGTTACTATGGTTTCTCTTGCTCACTACGTCAAAGCGTCGCTCCGCCTTACTGAACATTCGCCCACCGTTAGTGACCGAAAGGCCATACATGTCGCAACGTAAGTCACGGCCGAGCCACTGTAACATGTCCACTAGGAGGTGCCCGAGGCTCTCGCCCCCCTCAGCTGTGTGAGAGTAGCCGAACGAGGTCGGATGTTGCTGTAAGAAGGCGATGACCAAGCAGGCGGCCAAGTAGCTGCCGACTCCTCCAGTGAAGGTAAGGTTGAGTTTCCTTGAGGCGAGGTAGGTCTTGAGAAATATCATCAAGGGCTTAAAGGCCGGGTACTTCTCCACTCCCTCTCGTATTACAAATTTGGTCGTATCAGAGGAATCCGGTTCTCCTGTGGAGTTGTCTTGTACGGAGACGTCGACTTCGACGTGTGGAGGTAGCACGTCCACGAGTTTGACAATAGGCACTCGAGCGGTCTCGCGTAGCTCCAACTCCTTCAGCTGGCCCTGACTGAGGAGCTTATCGGAGAGCATTCGGACGGCCTCTACTGCACCAACAGGCACATTCTGGAGGGAAAGATCGATGTCCCCACTAGGGAGGCTCAGACCAGAAAGGAAACTGCCGAAGACCCTGAGCTCGCATTGTGGCCAGAGATCCTTGCAGACCCCATTGATCCTCGCTACGAACTCCTCCCTTGCCTTCACTTCATCGTCGTTGAGGACCACCCACTTGGTGTAGTCCACGAGCTCCTCGTGAAGCATGAGGTGCATAGGTAGGTTGGGGTCGTAGCCACCCTCGCGCCACCAGGGCGGGGCCTTTGACATGGCCGGAGCTGGTCTCGAGCTAGCAACGATGCCCTCGAAGGCCTCGGGGACGGCGGTAGAGGAAGTGGAAATGCCCATAAAGTTGTCGCCCTCCTTGCCGATGGTACCATCCTCTGTGGAAGTCTTCTTCACTCTTGGTCTCCTTAGAAGGTCCCGCATGGACTTGTTCTTCCCTGCCTAAAGCAACTCTTGTCAAGTTGGAAAGATTCCAAGGAGGTTGTCAATGTCCATGCGACCATTGCCCCCTCCCCCCTGCAGTACTACCCTTTCCCTGTTCATCTTTTCCTCCTCTGGAGTTATGAACTGCTCTATGAACGTCTCGTATGCCTCATTGGAGGCACCTGTGGACTCGTAGGGCGCTACAGTGTCGTCATGGCTTGACATCACCAAGGAAAAAAGAAGTTGCACCACGGATCGCAAAATAAAGGAAATGTAAGTGAAAGCAAGAGAGCAAGATATTGTAGACGCTGTGAGGGTAAGAGATTCAACGGTAAGTCTGTAGTTGTCACTTAGATGGCCACCAACGTCCGTGGACGGAGCATGCCGGTAGCAGGCAAGAACGTTTTCAAGTAGTAGAGGGGGAGGGGTTGAGGGGACGACGTAGAGACTTTCGTGCTGTTAGCTTTACTCCGTCCCCGAGGCGGGCCACGTCCCCGACTAATAGGCCACCATGGCGGCCAGCAGGCCAGCCTCAGAAACGGTAAGGCCCCTGTTGAGCTCCCTCTTGAGGGATCGTCCTGGTGCTAGGTGGATGACCCCGCCCAACCACACTTCTCCGTCGCCCCCTAGACGCCGCTCCCCCTCCCCGACTCCATCACGGCCACAGTCAGCATTGCCTCGGTCGGGCTCACATGCCGTGGTGGTGTTCACTATACGATCTATATTTGAGAAGAGCGTCACTCGGGAGAAGTGGGGGAGGGACTTGACTATGAGCAGTCATTTTGTTCCTTTTTCAGAGTCCAGGACTTCGTTTTGGGCCACTTGTCGATGGCCGGTCAAGTCCCGATGGAGGCATTCTACATCACCAAGTACGGGAACAGCGCATTCACTGTAGTGGTATGCAAATGGGTTTTAGATACCAGAACAGGGCTGGCGAGATAGTCATGTCTATGGAGATCCGACCGACCAACGCAGGAAGTAGCACTGAGATGGTACGGCGTCTCGCCACGGCTCTCGAGGACCCAAAGTCGAAGTTGCATCGGCCGGGCTCTCTCTCGAGTAAGGTCTTCACGGCCGCTCGAATGGACGTACGGAACCCTGGAGAGGTACAGAGGGAGTGGGCCTCACCAGTGTCCAGTAGGGCCTATTCCCCTACGGGTAACATAGGGAGTCCAGGGAAAAGTGGTAGTAGCCCTACTATGGCACGGTCCTTATCTCCTGAGCGAGTCGTTGCACAAGCGAGACCGATTGGTGTAATGAAAGCAGCAGTAACGGCATCGCAGAAGATACTTTCAAGACCTGTGGTGAAGGTGGAAGAAGAGCCAGTCTCTGAAGTGGCGGTACGGGGAAGGCCAGCGGTGGTGTCTCGTAAAGTCGTTCGGGAGTCCACACGGAAGGCTAAGAGTGGTCGAGGCCCAGCCGCCCCTACAGAGTCGAAGAGGAAGGGCAGTGAGGAGGTAGTGTCGGTGTCTCGTAATAGCACTATCAAGCCAATGAGGAAAGTGTCTGATGCAGTGCTGAAAGTGATGGAGCCTCTTGAGCGGAAGAAGGATACTGGAGCGAAGCAAGAGTCGGCGTTCATGGCGAAGTGGCGGGAGACTATACTCAATGCTACTAAGAAGAGTGAACCGGCGGGTAGCTATGTTGTTAGTGTCCTACCGGGCCAGCCTGGGGTACCCACAAGGGAATTAGAACGACACACTTCACAGGACATGAGCAGCTCTCTTCTGGAAGCTCGGCGTGGGCTAAAGCTGGATGGTGAGGCCCCAGAGTCCCCTGGGTCACTATCGGCAGCCTCGGCGGCTAGGAACTTGGAAACGGAAGGAGATGCTCAGGTGGTCTCGCTAGACCGGGCCCTGTGGGATCCACTGTTACATGGTAAAAAGGCGAGGTTCGACGGTTATGTGCTACGTAGTGTAGAACTGAGCGGAGATGGTGCTCAGTCTTGGGCTGTCAGCGAGGTGAAGCCGTACGTGGATGGGGACAGGCTTGTGTGGAAATGCGAGATAGCTGGACTGTTGCCAGCTGATAAACTCGCGGATGCCGCGGAAACGATGGGCCCGGGCTTTGGTGTTTGCGGTAGGACCACAAGGGAAGTGAATGCTGCCATAGACACACCGGAGGCTGCTATAGTGGGATATGATCTGGTCAGTGTCGCGGTGGCTGGCAGGTGGGTTGGGCCCGACAAAGTATTCAAAAAGGATTGGGCCAGGGAACTGAAAATTGAAGATTCGGTGACAGTAGTGGTAGAGAGGACCACTGGGGTGTTGTCGATCTATGTTAATGGTCATGAAGCGCTCCGTCAGGAGTTGGGCAGTAAAATGCCTAAAAGTCCGAGACTCGTATTAGATGTACTGGGTCGGGTGGGAGCCATTCGAGTGCTCTCCACGGAGGAGGTAGGGGAAGTGCTCGCCGCCTGGCCCTTGGTGAGAGGATCTCGAAGGGCCTCTATGGTTTCGGAGTCCCATAAGGGTGAAGTGAATACGAGTAAAGTTAGTACGTCGGTTGGTGTTGGGCGTCGACTCTCGAGCCAGAGGGTTTCCAAAGTGGTTGAGGAGCCTCCGATTATCATGATAAGGAAAGCAACGATGTCTTCGGTGAGCCGATCGAGTCTGCCGGAGACGCAGAGTGGTAGTAGAGGTAGTGTATCCCGGTACACGTACGATAGTAGTACGTCTAGGACCAATACTGCCATGGGAACCTATTCGGAGCAGAGCTATACTGCCGGCTCGGCTACAGTGTCGTCCGGAGGAGATGCATCGCGGAGGAGCTCTCGAACAGGCTCGAAGGTTTCCAGTGGGAGCTATTCGAGCCCTACGAGGAGATCTGTGACATACAGCGGGGGGTCTTATTCTTCGAGACAGAGTTATGGTAGAGGCTCGGTTACTGTTGCTTCTAGTGCGTCGATCAGTCACTCGAGCAGTGTATCAGTAACGGACTCATCAGGGTACTCTAGTCGTAGTGCTAGCGTTAGTGTTACCTCCTCGGGTGGAAGCCGTTCTCGGTCACCTTCAGTACTAGTGACCAGTAGTGAGAGTGAGAGAGTCCCTACATTGTCAGTGACTAGTAGCTATGTCACTTCCTACTCCTAGTTGTATCCATGCTTACGCGTGCAGAGATCATTCAATTTGCTGTGAAGACACTTGTCATGTCGCGTTGATGGAGATGGTCACAGGGTTCTGATTGTCGGTAGTCGTCGAACTTGATACTGGTTGGATTTCGATGTTAATTATTCAACCTTTGTTATCAACCTGATCCATATAGCGTCATGAGAAAGCCTGTTGTGAATCTCCTGATACCTCAACTGTTCTCATTTGTAATATGTTACAACGGCGCGTCTTAAAATGCATATTGCTTTCCTCGAACCCGGGTGAGGTGGCAGAGCTCCATTCGGCGACCAAATACCTCTTCAGGGATCGGAGTGCTGCCATTCTTGGCGATAGCACAGTTCCTGCCCAACCAGTGCGAGCGTAATTCATGCTTGTCGCAGAAGTCGGAGTACTGCAAGGAACACCTACCGTCATCTTATCTCATGGAGAAGTGGGAATCTGATGAGCATCACGTTTAGCCATTCGTATCCTATTGCAGACCTTGCCCTACCTCTGATAGTACGTGTACCCAGTGTAGTGGTACCGACCCCACCGTGTGCACTTGCGAGGCCCCTCCCTTCATGATAGAAGTCGGGTGGGTGCCCAACAACCGCGTTATCAGCTTGCCAGTTGACGCCACAGTTACGGTGAACAGTGTGGCGTCTCGAGTGTGTGTGGCTCGGGCCAAGGGGTGTGTTATCGCCCATGCGAAACCTACCCTCATCCGACCCTTTGCCCTGAGCCACGATGTATTTGGGATCTCGGTGGTAAAGGGTGCCTAGTGGCTCCGGCGCCTAAGTAGAGCATATTGATAATAGTGCCCTCACCGGTGGCCCATCAGACAAATTCCCAAGTGGACCGAGGTCGCCCCCTTCAACCCGGCAATCCCCAAGTCGGAATTCACTCGCGGCGAGACAGTGGTAGAGATGTACAGTCAGCTGGAGAGGGTAGCAACTGAAAGTGAACTTGAGCTGAACGAGACTGAGGTGGCCAGTTGTTAGGGCCAACGATGATTAAGACTGTGTCTTTAGATCCAACCGAGTCACAGAATTTTCCCGATATCTTATGAGGAGTTCCAGAGGGTCTCTGAAGGGTGAGCTTGTTAGGAAATGACCGACCCGTCATAGCCTTCGATTGTATATTACAAATAACTTCATAATGGAGTTTCGCCTATCGAAAGTGGCGTGGTGCGATACTCCAGGTAAGGTATAGGACGTATATGTTTCGGCCACCGGCGAGAAAATGGTTTTCCGACAATTGAATTGCGAGATATGACTTTCAGTAGCGTCCTTCGTATCACGGGTGAAACTCCATCAGGAATATCAGAGTTATTATATTATTTCACTTGACCGAAGTTTTATATGAGTCTGTACTATAGCTTCAATGGTTGAACCGGACAGATGTTAGTGAAGGCGTTGATTAGGTATAAGGTGCAGGGGGAGTACCCCTTAGGCCGTGCGTTTACTCTGTCACATCTCTTCCTCGCGTTAGATGATAATACGGATGGCCATCTCACTCAGACAGAGTTCTCGGGTATAGCTACAGGCTCACACTTCCATACTGCTAGCAATGCAGGTTTGCCAACACAACTCTATCGTGCCCAAACCCTGCTCGCCCCGGGCGCAGTCACACGGGGTGAATCCATGCTAGGTCGGAGGAGACTCCAAGTGAACTGTGTGTTGTTATCGAACTATCATGAGGACCTGCTGATACACGTAGGGCGTCTACGAAGGCCTCAACCTCTCGGTGTGCCGAGACTTGACGGAAGATGTGTCACCAGCCATAGCTGATGCTTGTGCGGCACCCGAGCTGCAGGTGGGGATCGTTAACCCCTCATACCCTCTGTTGGAGGGGAGACTCTCTGAAGGATCGGCTCGATAGTCGAGCAAGGGAATAATAACGTTTAGGGAGAGATCTGTCACGAAGATGGGGGGAAGGAGTTTTGCTCGTTGGACCGAACGTGCAAGCCAGATGGTGACTGTTCAGAGTGTGGATGGAAAACTGCTCTTGATCACGTTGAACATAAGTAGTCATCGCTTCAGCGAGGCGTCTCTGTGCCCCAGTGTTGGAATATACGTTCGCTATCCTCAGCCGAGCTCGGAAATTTCCCTTGGTAGTTATGGGAGTTCACATACGAATTAGGGTAGGAGTATACATAAACCAGCAAGAATCCCCCCATGTTGTCACCAACACATGTGGTTGACCATGTGCGTGTTTTCCCATACTGCTGCTACCTTGACAGATGTGTCCAGCCGAGCCCGGCTAACTGCAAGGGCGACTTGAGCAAGAACTATTGCCCTTTGGACCAAACTTGCCATCCGTCCAACTCCTGTTATAACTGTACAGGTTACACTGCTATCGACAGAGTGCAAGTGAGACCCACAATGGAGCCACGCATGCCGCAGAGGTTTGGTCAGGGTTCGTGTGTAGCTGCCTGGTGGGACGACACACCGCCGACCCCTCAGCCGGGAGGGCAAGGGGCCGCCGTATGGGTGTGTCGGGATAGGAAGAAGGTCGGGATGGCCTGCCGAACTGATATGGACTGCATCAGCGGTCGGAAACGGTGTGTGAACACCACATGCCAACCTGCTTCCTATATTGGAGGCAGTGCCTCGAGTACTGATACCATGAAAATCTCAGATGCTGATTAGGATCAACTTCAGGTACAGTGGACCAGGACGTTTCGGTGAGGCTTGGGGTACCGAGGAGTTCGTGAAGTGTCCTCTTTGATAGCTTTGCACGATCGATATGGACTGCCCGCATGTTGGCTATTACTGCCCCGATGACCCTACCAATGGTGAAGACCCGTACTGGAGGAAGGTGTGTGTATCACAGAAAAGGGAAGGAGAGGCGTGCGAGGGCGATAGAGAGTGCCAACCGGACTGTAGATGCAATACTCATGAGAGCTCACCTAAGTAGGGTATCCTACTGCTACTATAGGAGAATTTCATCATCAACAACTTGTTATTACCGCACATCGAATTCATTCTTGTCGTCATCGCTATCAGCCTGCTCGTGCTCTACTATCTGCTGTCTTCCCGTTACCAAACAGCATATGGTCGAATTAGGCCGCTAAATGGTGCCAGACTGGAAACTACTACCACTATCACCACCGCGGGATCTGAGAGGGCACAGATATCTCATCGAATCTGTTCATGCATAGTGATTTGATCAGATGTCGACGGTTATTCTCGCTCGTCATCGGTGCTGTGTCACCCTACCCTGAGCTGTGTGCTAGTGGCTTCCTCGATGCATATAGCCGATGCGCCGTCGCGGCTAAGTCTCACAGAGTCGGTCGTAGGTGAGGAAGTGAGCCCATGTGGAACAATAATGAGAATGCTAGATGTGATTCTGATGAAGACTGCACGACTACAGACGCTACTGGGCAAACGGGCAAGTGTGTTTGCAAGTCTTGGTGGGCCAGTGGTGATGGCAAGTAGGCGACGCTTGGGACTGACGCCTCCCTATGTGATAGCATATGTGGGTACTGCATGCCCGTTGCCGGCGACTTTGCGAACAAGCAAGAAGGACTCCGTGATTGGCTATATTATCGAGCCAAGAACTGTGGATCTTTTTGGGATGAGGAAGAGTGTTTGCTAGCGAGAGGAGAAGAAGCTAAACGGAAGTGGCAGATTACTATAAAATATTCTGACCTGTCTTCCGCCGTAGATACTACGCGTTACTCTGTGAGGTGCAGCAGCTGTCTAGAGGCCCATACGTTCCACCTTCAGAATGTGGCCTCGCGTCAAGCGATCGGTGGGTTGTTGTATCCAGAGAATCATCCAGGAACCTATAATGCTCCCGAGGGGAACTCATTTAGAATATTCCACATGGCTAGGAACATTTTTCAATCAGCTTCCGGTGTGAATGTCATCTTATTAGGAAAATTTTCACCATTGTTATCAAACCCTGGGGAACGTTATTTCTCGACGCTAAATGGGTCCTTGGCTGTATCGGTTGCTTTTGCCGTTCTTGTCACGAGATCATCCTGGATGTAATTGCTCTCGTTTCTCTAGGCTTGGACACCCTAACCCGGGCCGATTTGGCTGGTGTGTTTACTAAACACTATTCGCTAAAGAATAGTGTGTGTTTTACTAAACGTTAAACACTGTTCAGCGGATCGAACTGAGGATCGCATGTTAGTCGGGTCCAGGGATGAGCCCAAGAGGAGTTTCCTCCTTGGTTCCTCGAGATTCTCGTTCCACTAGCCTCGCTGGGTTCTATCCTCCTCATCTCACAATCAACCGCTGTGCTCAACTACTGCATATAAGCTCGTCGTGAATTCTCATTCGCACCTGCGTTCTATCCCAAGCTTAGATACATCGACTACTGCGTGAAACTGGCCGCACTATCATCATCAGTTCGCAGTACATGGACAGGTCTCTCTCTATTCTTGTCCATAGGGCTCGTTACCGTCATGCTTTCCATGGAATAACGCTTTCATCACCGGTTCTTGTGCTCGATGATGATTACGACTGTCGAGCTAGTGAGTATAGTTCAATCGTTGTTATCGGCGCGGCTCAGATTGTAGGGAACACAACTCTCAGACTGCTGTTCAAAATCGCCATCTTTCACTTGCGATAACAGAATGCTATACCATATCAGCTCTTACTACAGGTGAATACCTCGGTCCTATTCTCATCCTGGAGTGTGTATCGAAGTTTGCTCCCCCACTGTTATTTGCGTCGACTGTATTGTCTGCATCAACATAGTCAACATTGAGTAGCAACAATTCCATACTTCAGCACCACGTCAACGATTTCTAGTGAAGTCTGTCAGTTGATATGTTCATTCACGGGGAAAAAGTGAGAAGGATGATAAGCCTAGGCCCGTCCCCGGAGGAAAGTGTTGAAGTAGGAACTTCAAAACTTCAGTCTCAGTGTTCTCCCACGGTGACGATCATTCCTTACCGACTGCCACTTCCAGCGGTACCCCTCCCCCTAGTATGGGCGTTGCTTTGTTCTTATGGATAGACTTAGCTCCCTTCTCAGATAGGGTCAAGATGAGAGCCTCATCCATCCCAACGTTATGAATCACAATGTACGACACCTCCGGGCGGTTGCAAGAAGTGGACTACCTTACATCCAGTGGACTAGAGAGCTCAACACGTGCTGTTCAACATCCATCACTCTAACATAAACATGCGTTAAACATCATATACACCTACAAAAGATAGCTCATGACGCCATCGATATGAAGCTGATTGAGACAACACGTGTCACTATTCGATGCGCCAGGTCGAGATTACTGGACATCTTCTTCTAGTTCTTGGAGTTTCGGAGGTCTGCCTATGACCGTTAGCTTATGGTTAGGCATCAGGTCATCATGTGGGTTCCACCTGGACAGCAAGTCAACCGGAGCTGTCCTGTAGTTGTGTCCTAGGAGCCACATAACGATCCCCTTGAGATCTTCCGGCTTCGTATAGGGATCCAAGAAAGGAGGCTGAACTTTGGCCCGCCGAGCTGCGAAGTTAGCGTAGTTTTTAATTTGCCGTCTGCATAAGTCTTCAAGATCCTCATCTGTCAAGTCAGTCTCTGATCCTCTAGGAAGTATCACCCTAATGGATTCTTCTTCTAACGTTCTTAATCTTTCCCTCTCGAATTGAAATGCTAGCTTCCTGAGGAAAGACTCGCTTTTTCGAGATTGAGAGAAGCGACTATACTATCAGTGGGAGAGAAAATGTGAATGATCACAGAATGGTCGATAGCTAAATAATGGGGAACACTTCATGATGGTGCTAGATCTTACGGGTCGTAATTTTTTCCGAAAGAATTGGACACTTCCCTAATCCTGAAGCCATCCTCAGGGTCATCCATCTCCAGTTTCAGCGACACCGTCCATTTTATCTGTCAGATCGTGCTGCAGTTAAACAGAATAGTTCATCAAAGTGGCTCACTGATCTCCCCGAGTCGCCGTGCGGATGAGCAATCCAGTAACTCATGGGGTCGGTAGCTTCGCAGTTGGTCTTTTGTAGTCTCAGAGCACGTGATTTTTCCATGAGCTCTCTACCGTAGTCTCTCATGTCATCCTCCTTGTTGAAAGGCACGGCTTTAGCCGCATTATCCCTTTCCACCTGTTTCAGCAAGTCAGGATTGAGAAGGACGTCAATAGCCCGGTAATCAGGCTCCTCGCTTGCTGAGGTGCTCTCTATAGTTGTGCGGAGAGTAACGTCTGCCAAAGCCTGAACCTCTTTATCGTCTTTCTGGACTGTTTCATACCCCAATTCCAGCTGAAAAGGGGCCATAGCATTATAGAAAGAGTTGAGTGGCTTCACCTGTTTTCTTTCGGTGGGAGTAGAGAGGTCGGTCCCGGTCAAAGAGTCTTCAGATAGGTCGGCAGGAGCCTGCAAGAAGTCGGAAGTTGTTCTTATTCCTGTCGACAATCGAGGTTGGCCACCGGCTACGTCGGTGTAGTGACCAGAGAGAGCTGCTAGGAACACTCAAGATCCCCGGTTCGAACCCTCGTAGCTTCATTTCTCTATGGCTCTCAATGCTGACAATGTGCGCTTCCAGCTCACCTCTGTGGGTGTACTAGGTCTCAACAGCTTCTTCCCTGATCGGGCTAGTGCGCCCACCCAGATGGGAGCCTCTGTCAGAAGGAGCACCACAATCTTCAAAGTCGAAGATTTAGTCATTTATCAACTTTAAAACCTCTCGAAAACATATTATGCATTCATCTCCTCTAGAAATGGGTTTACTTCCCTCATTCAATCTAGCAAGAAGCCTAAGGTCGGTTCGGGAAAAATTTTTGGGTACATTTTCTATTTAAATGGCGAGCGAAAAATAACATTAATTGTGGGCGTGCGCGCATGAGATGAAGCGTCGCCGTTTTGTGGCTTTGCGCCGTCCATGAGAGCTGAAGAAGGACGTGGGCCGCGGGAGTAGGTAACGCAGAGGCTGCGGTTGAACTCCTACTCCCCGAGTCTACTCGTTTTTTCGTAGGAGGTCATAAATTTTTCTCTGGTAGAGAGAAGATAGTGAAATAATATTAGGTGGGAAGTTTCATTCAGCATGGATGGTGTAAAGGTTTGGCTGATTCAGCTGGGATCCTGATCGGCCAAATATGTGGCTGGCGTTGACCTAGACACGCACAGGTTCGAATCCTGGGAGGGGAATGTATTCGAGCTCTATCAGTTGCCTTGCTCTTGTCTTGATCCTCTTCATCCTGGCACATGGCTGAGTTCGCGAAGGAGGCCGGTGGAGAGCTGTTCTCGTATAATCGAGAGAACTGGAAATTCAACAATGAGCTGCGACAGAAGAATCTCTACCAGCAGCAGAAGATGCGTGTTAGGCAAGTTGACCTTTACCGAGAGGATCTTCATGACTTATTCGGCCTTACTATAGGAAAGATGGACAACTACGCGGTGAGATAGGGAAATGAATAGTTTTTGTGGAGCATGTGGTCCCGTTCAGACCGTGAGTGTTATCCTGTTAATCTGGTGCATTGAGATGTTCTACAAAGGACGTATACCATCACCGACGCAGAACTTTCTGTTCTGGGCTTACGCGATATCGCTTGGTAGTAACGGGTGGGGAGAGGGGTTCGAACGTGGTACCTCTTGGTGGCAAGCTGTTGTTTGTACCGCGAGGCTATAAGGTCAGTGATTATTCAGGCACGTCGATCATATTCCTCCTGTTCTCACTCTGGTTCGCCCTACATGCTTCTGTGAACGCGCAAGTGTTCTCCGTCCGTGCACTCACCCAATGGTTGAGGCTTCCAGTCCCAAGTGCTCAGGAGATTGCAGATGCTGCTTCCCGACTGAAGGATTATGAATGTAATAGTCCACCCCGGTTCGAGTCCCGCCGCTTGCATTTTATCACCTTGTATTCTTTCAGCCAGTGGTGTCGTGTCGATGCTCCGTGTGCCTATTGTGTTCGAGCAAGGGCGAAAGTATGGTCATGATATCCCCAAGGAGTTGAGGACACAACCTTCGAGTTTGGCAAACAAAAACAGACCCAACAGGGTAATACTGGCGGGAGTACTCCTATAAGATAAGACCCGCTGGTCCTCCTCCAGGGCGTGGCTGATTTGACCACGGATTGGGAGGTATTCCTGGCGCATTTCAACCTCTTTAACATGATGCACAAGAAGTGGCAGTGCCACGAGGCGTTTGCCAGGGTCTGCATGTGTTGGGGTAATACTCCTCAGAGGTATATGGTCGTATTACTTTGTTTCGATCAGGCACTAATCAGTTGCTCACTGCAATGTCCTACTTCTCATTGGCATACTATGGAGTGTTCTTCAACCAACCATGGGCCGCTTATGCTTATACTATATGTTGCTTCACTGCTGCATATATCCATATGCAGATCAATGCCCTCCTTACCCCTCGGGAGAATATGGTCATGGTGAGTCGATGGACGCGTGAGCTCATGTTGAACTTTTACCTTGCAGCTCTTTCTGTTGTTCGTACCACTCGCCCTTCAATCTATCGATACTGCTTTGTATATCAATGAAGTGCAGAAGGAGGATACCTATGCTATCACGGAGTTCGGTGGAGCAATCACTGGCCTTGTGGCCGTCATATTGGCTGGAGGCTGGCAGGCTTTCTTCATGTAGTAACAATGGCCTCGGTATCATCCTATGAAAACCTCTGATCAGTTACCTGTGCAAACCTGATGCCAAGGGGTTGCCCGTGAAGTTCTCTACAGTGTGGTGCATTGACGTTATGGGCTTTGGTGTTGAGACCATGGAGGAGGTCGCTGAGCCCTTGGCCCAGCCTAAGCATATGCAAGCTGGGTAAGCTGGGAACGTGGTGTGATGATAGGGATCTAGGTGGTACTCCTTAGGCATTTGAACCTACCCAGTTTCCCTGACGACGGTCCGCTCAATACCTATGGTCCGGTCAGCGACAAGATCAACTTCGAGAATCCTAAGAAGGGGTATCATCCTGACATCTCTGAGGATCTTCGAAAGCAGTGCACGGCGACCGAGCGAAGTCTGGGAAGGCTCTTCAGGCATTGGGAAATGGAAAAGGAGCAGAAGCACCTCAGCGATAGTGTAACGGCTCTGTCTGTGGATTACCGAGAGCTTATTTGTTCTATTGTAGGAGCTTCGGGAGCTGGAGCATTTGAAGAGCGAGTTTGTGACCCAACGAAAGGCCCTAGCGGGTGCCGTCCGAGCTGAGCAAGGCCGAGGTGACTGCACCCCTGGTACTCCATTCCAGCCTAGAGAGGGTTGGATTAGATTGGAGTACGTCGATGAGGACGGTCAGACTATGCCTTATCATCTCAACTGTGAGACTGGCGAGGTCCAGTGGGAGATGCCGGATGAAGCATTGCAGGTAGTTCGGTAGTAGAATGTGGCGTCTTGGTGGTATTGTTGGTATCATCAGAGTCGAGCTCGAGGCCTCTCCTTGATTCCGGAGGAGCTCGATACGTATGAGCAGAAGGTGAAGGCCTATAAGGAGGTCCAGAAAACTAAGGGCTTCCACTTGCTCGAGGATAACCGCTTCAATGAGGCACGGTCTAGGATGCCCTTGAGGGTAGGGCTAGTCGTTGAGGGCCTTGTGTACAATGTTGCTGCTTTCATTTCAGATGACCAACTTTGGCAGTCTGGTTTCCCTCTTCTGCTGGTGTGGAGCGATAGTGGACACAGCTCTGGAAGTGGCGAAGATAGATACCACTGGTGATCGCAACGCTGCTGTGAGGGAGGGCATTAACCGTCATTTGGTGGCCTCACCGGTGTCCTACGGCACTCCAGCTCTGCTTGATAGTGCTACCTTCTACTCCCCCACGTCTATTGCTTGTCGTCCTGGTAGTGAGATCTACACAGCTGATTTGTTGGGCTCGAGACTCCTTAGCTCTGCAGTCACTCGTAAGTGTGGTCTCACTAACTCCATCATTGATGATGTATTCATCCTGGAGAATGGCGAACTCGGTGCTTTGTCGAGTGGGAAGGTCATACAGTGTGCTACTGGGGAGGAGGTAGTAGCATTGGGTGAGTCCGCACCCCAGCCTAGACTTATAGCGCAGTCCGCGACAGGGGCCTGGGTTGCCATAGCTCGTGAGGATGGCCAGATCTACTTCAACAATGGTAGGACCTCTCAGTGGTATCCTGGCGTATCGCGGTACGCCGATGCGTTGTCTGTTCATACGGCGGGGGATAATGCTTATATACTCCTCCCGAACTCTGAGGTAGATGCATGGTCTATGGTTTCTGGAAGGCTAGTAGGCCGAGCTGAGATTCCTGGTACGGAGGGCGCTGACATAGAGTGGGTGTCGGCCTGTGATGGTTCCCTGTTGGGTTATGACAAGCACACTAGCGAAGCGGTGGTCGCCCGGGACTTCTCGATAGATCCACAGCTTATTCAGAAGGTAACTGTAGAGAGCGAATGAAAAAGATGGTGGCATTTAGATGAGTAATGAAGCTCAATGATGACGAAGTGGGTAATTCGGGTAATCTTTCCCACTTTGCTAACTGTTCCATTGGCCTTTCGTACACTACTGAATGTTTCGTTCTTCTGGGGTGGTCTTGGTCATGGACATCATCACTGTAGGTGCTTTTGCGTACGGTCTTTACCTTTTCTCTTTGCTAGTGAGAATTTCGATATGGTGTTCGTAGAAGTAGCTGCCGTACTGGGAGGTCTCGGCGAGCTGTTTATGTACAATAGGGAGACCTATCAGTACAACAGAGAGCTCAATCAGGAGCGTATCTTCCAGTTGCAGAAATTAAGGGTTAACCAAGTGAGTCCATAGGACCATTGCTGCTGCGAGTCGTAGATTGAATGCTTCTGACAGGTCCAACTGTATCGAGAGGATCTTAGAGATCTATTCGAACTGACTATTGGTAAGATGGATAACTACCTCGTTATCAATACCCTCACTCTTGGATTCGTCATGGGATTCTACTACGAAGCCAAAACGTGAGTCGGGTCGACTGATTAGTGTTTCTTGATATAACACTATCTCAGTCCGGAGGAAGGATCACCGTCGTGGCTCATCTTCCTATGGGCCCTCAACCTGGCTAGTGCTGTCTTCTTCCTGGTCATGTCCATCTGGTTCTCTATTCACGCTTCCATTACAGCACAGGTGAGGTCGCTTCTCCAAATACTAGGAGAGTTGGTACGTTTTCCTCCTGTAGACCTTCGCCGTCCGTCTGTTAACGCAGTGGATGCGTTTGCCAGTTCCTGGCCAGGAGCAGATTAACTCAGCCTGTGCTGACCTGAGGAACTACGAACGCAAGGGGCTCGACACTATGTTCAGAATACCGGTTATGTCTAAGTAGCGTCATTTGTTTCAACGCAATGAATAGAGGACTCGTTCTTCCTATCAGTTACGTCCCTGTGAAGGGAGCTCGGGCGAAGGAGGATAATGAGCTGAGAGAAGCAGCTCCGAGGATTCTGGGAAGCAATACGGCTACTGAGTACGGTTGGAGGTTCAGCTTCTGAGTGGTTATTGCTGTACACACTTCAGAGATCTCGCTACGGACTATAACATATTCGTGGAGCACTTCTATTTATTCAACCGATTGAAGGAACATTGGCAAGGCTTCGATGCCTATGCGAGAGTGTTCATGGTCCTCGGCACCAACCAGCTCGTCAACGTGCTGTGGTAAGCGCAGGATTTGGTCGCGGCTTCTACTCCTTTGGTATCGTCCTTGCTTCAGTTACATGGGTCTCATGTTCTACTTCATCGCCTACAACTTCTGGGGTCCGTGGATCTTCATCCTTCTCATGTTAACATTCAACCTCATTCACGAGAGAATGAATCTTTTGTTGTCGCCTCCGGAGCATTGGACCCTTACCTTCTTGCAAGTCGCGGGTAGAGTTGTTGGTCGCTATAGTGGCGTAAACGATGCCATAATAGGTCCTATTCTAGCTGGCTTCGCCGCGACGTTTGACATCACGTATCGCATTAGGATGGAGAGGGGTGTCCCTGGAGATCATGATGGATGGCTAGAGACTGTTGACATCCTTACTCCTATCATTTACTTCCTCCACTTCCTCTTCATTGGATACTTCATAAGCTTGGGTGAGCCCTTTGGTAGCCCTCGGAGTCTTATGGGCGGCATAAACCTGTGCGATGCTCGGCTGGAGTGTAATGTCCTTCTTGGTTCAGGTCTCGAGCCGGACGGAGACCTTCCCACTAAATTCTCAATGATCATGTCGATTGACGTCCTGGGCCTTGATGAGGAGCAGAGGCAGCGAAACACGAGGCACAGAAACACCGTGACTAAGGAAGAAGTTCCGGTGTCCAAACTCATTCCACGGGTATGCTACACGTATGGTGTCATGGTCAGTCTTTTTATGATCAGACTGGCTCGGTTAAAGTAGCTGAGATGATTCGCAAGCAGAAGACGAGGGAACTTGGGCAGTCACTCAGTTCTATCCCAGAGGGCTCCCAAGCCTCATCAACATCCTCTACTGCAGCGCCCAACGGTGGGAGTAACAGCGGCGGCTCTGAAGGGCCCCATCGTATTGGCCGCGGTATCACCATGCAAGCTGATACCTTGGCTATGGGTCGGGCACTGCAAGCTGAGGAGAAGCCCAGTCTGACGAAGACCTTCCGTGAGAACTCTGCCAAGGCGAAGATACTACCCTGGAGGATATATAAGGCAGGTGGTGCAGTTGTTGCCGCCCTTTGGCTCTTTGGAGTTGGGTATACTTGTGCTGTAGCCGCTGGTGCTACAGAGTGGGGTTGGAACAATAAGGCTGGCCTCGTTGAGGAAGGTGGGGAAGAGCACCGAAGGTTGTTGGAGGAGTCCTGTACGACTTTCCAGAGTAGCCGACTAAACCTTTTGGAGCCTGGCCCGTTCTTCTACCCTACTACAGTAGATGTGGTGGAGTCGAGCTTGGTACTGGGAGATGAGTTCAATAACAGATGGTCATTCCCTGCTATTGGTGGTCGAATGCATGAGGAGCCTGTGAGTGCTGCTGTTCAAAACGTGAAGTACTCAGTGAAGAGCGGCAAGGTGTATCGTAGTGTTAACGGCGTGAGGATGTCCGAGTTGCACGTCCCCTATGGTCTAGTGTCCGGGAGAGCAGTGGGAGCTTGTGGGGCCTCTGATGGGGCAGCAGCTGTGGTAACGGACAAGGGAGAGCTCCTTACATGGACGAGCCGAGGTATGTGGTCCGGAGCATCCAACTTCACTGGACCGATATCTAGTGACAATCTGGACGTGAAGGACTGTGCGTATCGAGATGAAGATCTGCTGGTCTTGGGTAATGATGGCAGCACAGGAGAGGCGCAAGTTTGGGTCGCTAGTCGCGGTTAACGTTAGAGCCTCTATGAGGCCTTTGAACGATTGCTCTAAGTGAAGATCAGTGACTCTTATGAGTAGTGTCCTATTGCTTGCTGCTGTTATATCTACGGTTAATCGCTTCGGAAAAGGGAGCTGTGGTTGAGTTCATCATAGTGGGGGAAGAAAAGAATTGGTTGTTGACTGAATAGTGGTAATGTCGGCCGCCTCAATAGCGAAGGAAGCGCCATTGACGGTTGAGGAGGCTGCAGAGCTTCAGGTAATAAGAATAGCCCATTGTACTACTCCTTGGGGGAAGGAATCTGTGACGATCACAAGCCTTGTGGGATCACGATGAGTTCGTGACGATCACAATATTAACCGGGACGAGGCTGAGATTCGGGGGAATAATGAGCCTTGTGTGTTGCGAGGGTTGCGGGTTGAGAGTGTCTAATCATGAAATTATGCAGTAATTGAGGCTGTGATGGTATCGGTTTCAGGCGAAGCTTCGAGACGCAGGCAAAAACTGCAAAATCTTCCAACAGAAGGTTGATGCTCTGTTTGAGTCTGTCGCGAATTACCGGAGACGACGAGATACGGCCATCGAGGAGGTGGGCATCAAAAGAAGCCAGCTGGCCAAGACGGAGGAGAAGATCGCCCGACTTGTGCGGCGGATCAAAGCACTAGAGTCAGACAAAGTTCATAAGGAGGAGTTGGCATCGCACCTGGAACGCCAGCTAGGAGTGGTGAATGGTGAATTCCGGGATCTCGTCAGCGACCTGCGAGAATCGACACGAAAGGCTTTGGGAGGTATCAAAGCGGCTAGATCTAGGTATACTACGGCCACTCTGGCAATGGAGCGGGGATATGACTGTGGGGTTGGGTCCACGTAAGGAGCATTTTGCACTACTCTTGAGATGGTGCTCTGGACTCAGGTTTAGCTTGCGGCGAAGCAATGAGAGTGGTAGTAAATCCACTACCAGTCTTCTGCAGTTTAACAAGGGTCGTACATTTAATCGATGATTCTACCATCATGCAACATGAATATCGTTGTGCTGCTCGAACCGTTACTCGCGTTTCTGATGGGGTGCACGGCCACGGGAAGATGCTCAGGGTGTGGTAATGCTATTCGTGCTGCCTCTGTTGGCGAAATTATTGCTTTCTTCTATCTGAGCCTATCGAGGAGGAATCAACACATAGGGAATTCCAGGTTAATTACCCCTTTGCCTGAGCATGGCAATAGCATCGTGTAATCGCCACGTATTTGAGTCGTTGAGTAAACTGACATTTCGCTGGTCTGAGGGATCGATCGACATGTTAGAGTTTGTTTGCCTAACAATGAGTACCCCGCCCTCCCCATCATCATCGTCATCTCGTCACGAGGGTTGGTCTATGAACCCACCGAAAGAGGGTAAATACCTAGCGGAGCGGTGCTCTTTGATCCAAGGCTTACGAGGCGTCATGGAGGAGATGACGGCTAAGGGAACTCTCACGGGAGCTGAGGTGATGCCAATGAGCACTGGCGAAAGGCTTCCCTGGAGGATTTCCTTCTTGCTAGGCCGATACCCTCGTTAACATCGCGTTTGAGGAGCTCCTGGCTGAGTTCGACCAGACACCCACGGCTGAACGCCGCATCGTAGTGCGGAACGGCATGATAGGTTTGTATAGGTGATGGAATTCTCTGGGGGGCGGGATGCATCTCTGGTCGTGTTCAGGTACAATGCTGGCGAGTGGGAGCTGACATTCTCCTATCCGGACTTCAGCATGCAGGACGCTCGCTCCAACGCGATAAGCCCTCTTGGAGGACCAAGCATTGGATTGATTGGAACGGTATGTGACGGCGTAGGTATTGCGGGGTGATGTAGTGTTCAGGGGGAGCCAATTATCAAGGGCCGACGGAAGAACAAGGGACGTGGCGGACCACACCGAGTGAGAGGCATTGTGTTCGATCATGCTCTACAGAGAATCGATTTTAGTCTGGCTGGGGAGTTGCTGACGACGATGATGACGAGTGGTGATACGTTGACTTCATTGTTTCCTCATTATTACTGTGTTTCGTTATCTAGTTGGAACGCCGCTGCACATACTGCGAATCGTTATCACCTTGAACCTCGTAAAGTAGCCAATGAGCCTTTCAAACCCCTCCAACCATTTAGACAACTCTGAACAATTACTCTTTGATCATGCGATGCCATATTGTCGAGGGGGAAAACATGAAAACTCTGCAATGCTATAAAACTGTCAAAACGTTAGTTGGGCAGCATTACACCTTTTCCAAACGAGTGAAAGACGACGGTGGCAAAAAGAAGTTCACAGGCTAAAAAACGCTGCATAGAGCGCAAGTTTTTTAGCGCGCGCCCGAATTGTATCTTGCGTAAAGAAAGCTAGAATCTTGGAAACTTACGTTATTTCTCCGCGCCACGCATAGGGTTTCCGTACAAACTGTCCATCAATTCGTGCTTTGTTGGCTCGGTAATGAAAGTAATACCCTACCGTTCAAGGGTCCTATGATCTGTCCTTGACCCTTGGAGACCCTGTATGCCATCAGCCGTTCGCAACAGCCTCCCATGAACGCTCCAAACGCCCCTATTCTAGCCCACTCCCACGGTTTACAGCTGTTCTACCAGCTATGGGTTTACCTGCCGTTCTCTATACTGTGGTGTCGTTAGCCTCTGTGCTTCGAGGGTATGGTAGGCCATGACATGCTCTTCATTCCGAGCACGGCGCAAGGGGTCGTTGCTGAGCTTTCTGATAGAGGCTACTATTCGAAGTTGCCTCTCTGACATGTGTTGGTCTCCTTGCAGTTGTGTATTTATCTCCCTCGTGAGTGGCCAAACGTCCTTCTATCCCCTTCAATCTCTTGGCTAACATTGACACCACTATGTCCCATACTATTGAGGTCCGTCTCGGGGGCTCCATCATCTCATATTTGTCCATCGTTGCGGCTCGGTTGAGTTCATCTCTTTCGACATTTACCTTGCTATTTCTTTGCCTTCGTCGTTTAACATCATGTACCGCCGGTTTGCCATCATTGCTCGCTTTCCTGGACTGTGATCGTGTCTCTAATTTGAGCTAGGGTGCTTGTGAGGACTTTTATAATCGATTTGACTTTCTCAGATTCCCAGTTCAATTCGTGAGATATTCGCCAGCACTGAGCGTTCTGACAGCAGTAGTGACTCCCCCATGGAAGCCACTGCAGACCAGTTTGGCGCCCCAGGTCTACAGTCACCTCTGTCATCAATGGTAAGCTATACTTTGTTCCTGGATTTCATCCTGGTTCACGCGTGTGTGTCTCCAGAATCAGGTTTTTCGAGTGCGTAGTGCATTTCATTCACTTTCTGTTTAGGCGACAGATCTGTCCGGTCTGCAAGCGTCGATTTGGACCCCTAAAGCTAGTGATCGCCCAGTTCGAACTCCGGGAGCTGGAGGCTCCCTCACGAGGGCTAGTGATGGTGGACAACGTGATAGTGACAGCACAGCGTAGTGAGCAGCGGTTGTTCTCTCGCAACAACCAAAGCAGTGCCTTTGGTTGTTTTCTTCGCTCGGTTTTGTTTTTGCGTGGCTTGACGGTTCCTGTAGCTTGACGTAGTGCGAAATAATGTCGAGGTGTAACATTGTCTTTTCAGTCCTCCTGGTATCGTGGCTGGACTATCTAGAGGATCTAGTTTTCCAGTTGGTGGTTCTCAAGATGGTCCGATGTTCCCATCATCGTCGGGTTCTGCTATGACTGCTCCATCCAACTCTGGTGTTTATAGCACTACTAACACCCCTTCGGGCGACTGGCATGCTATGGATAGGCAAGCTCGCCACTATCTTCGTCGTGGAGGATGGGCTTTATATCGTAGGTCTCTGCAAGGATCTGTCGTGCCCTCGCACACCCCATCAGCGAGTGTCGTTGATCCTGGATGTTGGACGCCTGGTACGCCTCCCACCAGCTGGACTGCCTCTGGTTGTGGACACCCTATGGTAAGCTATCAGACCAGGAGTGATATCATCCTCGCCATTCGGAGTCTTGTAGGCGGCCACGGCTCCACCACCGGACGTACGGTCCCCGTTTTCGGGTTTCGATGCAGTGTCGTCGTCCACTTCGCCTTATCGCGCATTCGAGGGTTCCCAGCTCCACCAGCAAGATCATCCCCGGTCGCAAGATGATGGATATTACTACTTGCGTGGAGTGCTCTCGTCATCAATGTCACCGGCGGCGGCGGATGCATCCAATTTGCATGATGGCGGACTCACTAGTTATGACAGGTCGGTTTGACTCTGTCGCGGGTCCCCTTTTACCATCGCATGCCCGGTCAGCTCCTGTATGTTTCGTCACATTGCAAGTAGTCCGGTGATGTCGTCGATGTCCTCACCTCTGGCGGCGAACAATACTACTTGCCAGTCCGCCGGAGGGGGGTACTCGACACCTCAGCTCAGCAGGATGGCATTGTCTGCATCGAGCCGTGTGATGATGCAGAATGATGCAGCGTCGGGAACGCCTCGAGGTGCGGCAATGAGTTGAGCTCATCTGGTCGAGTGCTCATTTGTCGTGTTAGATATTTTTCCCAGTGAGTCTCATACTCATCCGTCGTATCGTTCGAGGCCTCCGGCGAGCAGCAGTGGCAGGATGTACAACCAGATGTTCCCGGATGGAGTTTCAACCCCGCAAGCAGGTCATCGTAGCAGGTGAGGTAGTACTCAAGTAAGTCATTGTGAACTCCTGTGCTGTTAGTGGATCGAATTTGTGGCCTTCAATACCTCTTCGGCATGGCTCGTCCAACACAGGGTATGCTGGTAGCGACGCAGCATCTCAAAGAACATCGACAACGCCGTGCAGTGGGACGTTTGGTGCTGATGTTGGCGCTGGGAAACTGAAAGGCCGTGGCGGCCACAATCATAACTCACCTAGTGTCACGTTGGAGGAGGTAGGCTTTTGTGAAGTGTTATTTTTTAATGTTATTTCTGTCAGATACAGGACAAGATTCTCGAGATGGCTATGGACCGTAGTGGCAGTCGTGTCCTACAGAAGTTGATCTCGGATACTTCGGCGAGTGCTGCGGATGGAGGGGCCCATGACGAGTTGGAGAAGCTCATTGATGCTATCATCCATGAGATACAGCCGGTGAGAACACTGTTACTCTCATCCACCTTCGGATTTTCGAGCTGTAATCTGCTAGTCGCATTATCAAGTCAGCATTGTTTAATATCGTGTGCTTAACGGCTTCATTACCGTTGTTTTCGCATCTGGGAAGTAGTGATTGTGGTAGCCAAGCATCGGATTCCATATAGCGTCCATGGAGTTCCCAGGTCTACTCAGTTCTGCCTCATGTTTGCCTTTTCCAGGTATTGTCTCGTATAATGTGCGACACATATGCTAACTACATGTGCCAGCAACTTTTCCAAGTCTCTTCAGCGAGTCAGAGGATCGCTCTGCTCCGCAATGTAAGAGAATACTGCCGAAATCATCTTCGGTGTTGAAAACTTTCTGCAGGTCCTGGAGAATATAGTCTACATATCGCAAGACCGTCGTGGAACCCATTCTCTCCAGGTTGGTCGTCATCTATCTCGTCGACCGTTCCGCTGGATCGATGCTGTTACAGGCATTGATAGCTTGTATGCAAACACCGCAGGAGCACGCTCTGCTAGCGGAGACGCTACATGGCAACGTTAACAAGATGGCACTCGATGTTCATGCAACTCACGTAAGCACACTTCGTGTTTGTGATGGCTGACGGACCTTTGAAACTCAGGTTTTACAACAAACCATCACCAAATGCACGCCTGATGGTCCCGGCAAGGAGTATAGTCACTTGCCTATGGCTGATTTTGGTTTCATTTTCGACGATATTTACAGAAATCTTGAGGCTCTCGCTGGTGAGTGCGATCTCCGTCTCAGTCCGTGTTGTAATCCCCGCTTTTAGGTGATCCGAACGGTCTGGGTGTCGTGAAGAAGTGTATTTCTCATGCGCCGTGGTACGATGATGGCTCATACGTAGAAAAGTACAAGTCGAAGATGCTGAACAAGCTACAGTGAGTACTCGCAACTTGGGTGCTGTGGAGACGTCATCATTTTTGTCTATCTTGTAGGTACTTTGTTGAGAACCCGTATGCTAACTACGCTGTTCAGCATGCCTTGGAAATATGGGTAGGATGTGGTGTCTATTCGACGAGTCATTGTGCCTTGCTATCGACAGGGACCTGAAGTTTGTACTGACATTATCACCAAGATATCCGAGAGTATCATATCGATGGCGATCCATAAGTTCGCATCCAATGTTGTAGAAACAGCCCTGAAAGTCTCACCAGATGATATGCGTAAGTGACGTTGGTCTTGTGGAGCGGTGACAGGGATATACTGCCACCTCCAGGTGTTATGCTCATTCACCGCTTGATCGACTACGGTAACACGTCGTGCCAAAATGCAGCGATGATAACTCTCATGAACAGCGCGTACGGCTTATTGGATGCCAATCATGTGTATCATCAACCTGTCAGGTACGGTGTTTTCGTCATGTCCACTGCACTTCGTTTGGCGCCTACTACGGAACTATGTGAGCAGATATATGGAGCGTTAGTTAGGTGGGTTAGTGGGGATCGTTGCGATCTGTGGAAATCAGTGAGTGATCAGGAACTACCAGCGCTTACCCGATAGCCGTAACAAACAGAAGTGGGACAAGGTCCTCGTGATGGCCGAGAAGCGTTGCAAGAAGGTATAGAATGGTCGTCGATAGTGCCAAGAAGTGTATCCAGTAGGGGCTGTGATATCCCCTAACACTGTCATAATCACCATAACACTATAGTAAACTGATATATTATCGCACTATTAGACAGATCGGAAATTATATTTATGATCAAATCTTATTGCTGCCTGTCTGCGTAACGTAATCTCATGCTGCTGCTGATTGACGATTTACCATAGTAAGCGGTTGTTGAAGGCAATCGAGGCCTTCTGGTCTTGAGCTTCGTGACATGTATATGGGGCTTGTGTTGTTATATATGTTATCGTGACTTTAGGATCATCCTAGCCCGTCCCTGGACGAGACTCAGATGGTTGAAAGTGATCGCGTTCTTGGGGTAGATCATTCGAGTGTGGGTGTAACGCCCAAGCAAGGAAGAGATCACGGTGGGTATATCGTTGAGTATTGCCTCCGCTTTGTTTGTATACCTGCGACTGCAATCAATCCGTTTATCATTGCGTTACCAGGTAGCCGAGAAGCTCTTACTAGGGCATCTAGTCCCGAGGAGGCGCCTTGGTTTACTACGGGGCATTTTCACAGCACCATTGGGGTGAATCTCATGGCCAGTTGAGATGAAGGCATACAAACGATGTTAGGTATCACCAGTGCCATCCCCATCTGTGTGGGCCAGAAGTAGCCGCAAAGCGTCTGGGGACGCATGAGTCCGTCCCTGTGGTGGGATCAGCATAGCGACAGCTAAGCTGACAGCCCACGGTTAATAACGGGCTCGGTCTCCTCTCAATTACATTTTCCATGTCCCTCGAGCCAATGCAAATTACCGTTTACGAACAACTCTAGCATATCGAACAACCGTTAACTAACTGTGTGAGGAAGAGAATACTGTCATTGCTATCGTCTTTCGTTGAACCTGCCTGGCTCGGCCTCGAGGGGTACATCCAACAAGTGTGCCACTCGGAAGGAATACTGTTCGCCTCGCTACTGCTACTGCTCATCTGCTCACAGGAAGTAGTCACACAAATCCCTATCAATAATATTACACTGTAAGTTCGTTCGAGCCCTGATGACCTCGCATTAGCGATGCCCTTGATGAAACAACTGACTCTTAGGTACATTGCGTTGTATCTCATGTTGTGGTCTTTGCTTCTGTGTCGTTGGTGGTGAACCTCTGGCTGCTCTGCCTCCGCTCAGCCGTCCCGGGATGAGTATGTGGACGTGCCTGTCTATTGACGATGGCTTACAATGAGACAAGGATACAGCTGATTGTTTGCTGTCAGTCATGGCTGATGTCATTCTTTGAGCTGCCCGTTGACTGATCTCTCATCTGTACCTTTGAACCTTTTTTCATGAGTAACCTCTCTTCGTTTACAATCCTTACTACCGCTTAGTAGAGATAGATGAGGCGGTCACTGTAAATTGCTTTCTCTATGTTGTATATCTGCCCGGGGGAGATAGTGGTGGTCCTCACCCGTCAAGTGGCAGTTGTATTGCGGTTGTCTTCGAATCTACGATTGATATCCCACGGTCACACTCCTCCCCTTAGAGACCGTGCCCTCTTGCTCCATCGTCACTTCATCAGCCTCACTGCAGGAGATATGTGGTTGTTCTTTGAAGGCGTTCGTTATGCTTGGAAGTATGATAACTCAGGTTTGCCTGTAAATGCTATAGTTGATATATGCTTGTGTACGTAAGAGTATTGTTGCGTATCCTAGTTGGGAAGGCGAACATACGCATATACATCAAGGCAGGAGACACACAGAGCTTAGTCAGTGCTCGTTCTTCCACGCTCATTCTCGCAGCGTGTGATGCCATCTGAGATCCGTCTGTGAAATGAGAATTCTTGCGGTCAACAAGTATTGGAGGGGTAGCACGGCGTTGAAGTCGGATTCAGCTCGGAAGGTGGTATTTTGAGCTCGTGCTTGGTGAGTCTGAAGTCCAGCGCCGTTGCCAGCTTACTCAGGGTTGGAGCGATATGATAACGATATCTCGATAGTGAGCTGTGCGTTGAGTTTTCTGGTTAGTCCAGGAAAGGTGAACATCGTCACAATGAATGAACTCGTCACAGTGATTGAAAATGTTTATACTTTCGAACTTGGGACTACCACAATCTAACGATGCCAGTCTGACCAAGCCGGCGACGGCATCGGGCTTGAAGCTGACACACACGAGCCTAACGACATTGGTCTCCACCCTGCATACACCGTGCTCAGCATGACTTCAGAAATAGGTGGTTCAGGAACTGCTCCGTCCAGCATCCACCCCGAGTACATTGTACTCGGTACAAGCGGACCCTTGACATAACAACCTCGACCACATTCTCAGACTTACAAAAAGGTGCCGACTCCCTCAGTCTGGCTGGGAGCTTGGCCCTGCACAGGGAGGCTCTGAGCCGTCACCTGGCGGGCCAACTCTAGGAGACTTCGACCACTACTTCCCGATCTCTGCAACTACCTCAGTGATTAGCCTACTTCAGGGAATCGCCAAGGCTGCGCTGCTCGGTACCGGGGGGATCCGGGGGGCCTACTACAGCTCTACGAGACTGGGACCATCACTATCACACGCATCTATCAGGGACACGCATCAGCGCTAAATCAAGAGAACACGAGGGGGAAGCTCCCGATTAAGCCAATGTTCAACACAGGTGGTTCCTTCCAGTAGGAGTACATTCAACGAGGAATGGTATATCAAATGCGGACAAAAATGAAGCTCCACTAGTACTATTCCCGAAACCTTCAAAGAGGAGCGGTACGATGACCGAGAAATGTGGTGTCGCGGCTAGCGTTTGTGAGGCGTTCGACGACAATTGGTATGAGAGGTTCCAGCCACGATGGATCATTCCGAAGGATGATGACTCACAGTTCAAGATTCAAGACGAACGAAATATCCCGTTAACAACACCTTCCAGCTATGAAACAGATGTCTATTTTCTCCTCGGGTTGTTTTCCCTCCCAACTCCCAATAACGCAAATCTGATCCAAGTGGTCGTGCTACACGGTTTGTGACAGCCCTTTCCAGGCGTCGAATGTTAAAGAATAAACCAGTAATGTATAGAACAAGGAACTCGAATGAGTAAAACTGCGTCTCATGTTCGCAGATGAGTCAATCATCCCAAGACCTTACTCTATCATCAAGGAACAAACATCTTACACAATTTAGTAGACGTAGTTCTTGACATAGTTAGACTCGTTAGCAGTGGCATCGGAAGAACCCTGGTACTTACCGAGCTGAGCCTCAGAGTTGGCCTTGGCGCGGGCGAGCAAGACAGCCTGGGCAGCCTTGGTGTTCTCGGCCTTACCAGCCCAGGTCTTGATAGTGGAGGCCTGAAGGGCGCGACCGTAAGAGAAGGTGAGGGCCCAAGGGCGACGCTCCTTAGGGAGGACATTCATGGCGTTGAGGTTGACGGAAGCCATCTCCTCAGACTGACCACCGGAAAGGAAAGTCACGCCAACGAGGGCCGGGGGGACGGTACGGGCAAGAGTGCGCACAGTCAACCTGGCGATCTCCTCAGAGGTAGGGCGAACAGGGCACTCGGCACCGGCAGTGACCATGTTGGGCTTGAGCAAGCAACCCTCAAGGAGGATGTGATGGTCGTTGAGGGCCTTGAAAACGGCGGAGAGGACACGCTCGGTAACATAAGCGTCAGTCTCGATAGTGTGAACACCATCCTGCAAGATCTCGGGCTCGACGATGGGGACGAGACCGTTCTCCTGGCAGACGGAAGCATAACGGGCAAGGTTGTGGGCAGTCTCCTCAATAGAGAGCTGAGTAGGCTGGTGCTTGGCCTCGTCGATCCTCAACACGGTTCTCCACTTAGCGAAACGGGCACCCTGAGCGTAATACTTCTGGCAACGCTCAGCAAGACCATCGAGACCCATAGTAGTGGTCTCGCCATCGGTACCGGCGAGAACGGTGAGTCCCTTATCGACCTTGATACCGGGGATGATGTTCTGCTTCTTCAAAAGCTCGACCATCTCAACACCCTCGGCGTTCTTCTGGAAGAGGGTCTCCTCGTAGAGAATAGCACCGGAGATGTACTCACCGAGACCAGGAGTGGTGAAAAGGAGGGACCTGTAGGCAGCACGGTTCTCCTCGGTGTTGACGATGCCAGCGCCATCGAAACGCTTCTTGATGGTGCCGGTGGACTCATCGGCGGCCAAGATACCCTTGCCATCAGTGCAGATAGCATTGGCGGTGGCGATGAGCTCAGACTCGTACTTGAAACCGGTGGTGTAAGGCATGGTGAATGGAACGAATAAGTGATTGACTTGTGAAAGCCTGGAAGGGTGAAAGAGCTATAGCGCGTGCAAAGCCAACTGGAAATCGCGCACGGATTTTTGATCTATAATTGCGCATTTTGCAGCAGAGGAGCTCTGCTAGAACTCTCGTTTCCGCGGACGCGATGGGGTAGCAACGAGTGATCGAGGCTTCTGAATGTTTGAAAATTTTGGTTTGAGATTAAACTCATAGCCGCTCGCACTCCTAAAACTGCAGTGCCAGGTAAGGTGGGATAACGAACGCAAGAAGGCCGAGGAGACAGGACCACACAATCGCTTATTGCGGTTGGAATCCAACCGTTGGGTCCATGAAATAGGTTCCTTCCGTCGCGGTAAGTGTATAGGACTCATCTGCAGATCTATACAGGATCCTATGAGATGCACCCAGCATCGATCGGCAATAGGAAATTTACACTCCGAGCGGCAGATCCTTGCCTGTGCGATGAGTACCTGCTGATAAGCTCCAATCTATGCATCTTTCGCCAACACAGATTCCCGCTCGCCATCAATCTCAGCCGTTTCATACACACAACTGATCCACTTGAAACTTCCAATGGCTTCAGTTGGGACTCCCAACTTGGGAGTGGTTTTTGAATTCCCTGTGCGCGCACGGCGAGTCATGATCCACTCAAAGTTTGTGGTGGAGAGCAACGATGTCGTCATGTGTCTTGCAACAGGCAGATATAGACTGAGTCTCTTGTAGTGACATGTGTAGGGTCAACCTACACTCTGTTAGGGCTGATGGGCATTCATGATTCATTTAACCTCGTCCTTTATTTATTGGTGTTCTGTTGAGTTCTAAGCTGATCAACCATACATATATTCAGCCTTGAAGAGCTCGTCGAATTGCTCACAAATCTGACCTCACTAGTATCAGAATTTTGGAACCTACGTTCGCGGTCTCTGGGGGGTTGGGGATGAGGGGTTGTTAGAGAAAGGGTGTCCAACCGTTCCGGGTATCTCCTATTCAGCGTCTAGTTCGACGCCCTATTCCCTCCGAGAAGTAGGGCCAGTTGCACCGTCACTTCTTGAACCTTGGATGTCCGACAAGAATGCTAATTCTGCCTCGGATATGTCCGAGCAGGAACGGAAGGAGGCTTTCAACAGAATGCTAGAGGAATATGAGATTTCCTCCAAGTAGGGCGGAAATGTTCGCCATACGCAACGGATCAATCTGACTATCAGGATGAAGTGGCACGAAGTTGAGAAAATCATCAAAGACGATTGGCGCTTTGGACTATGCAGAAACAACGGTATTAATCTCGGTATCATTTCAGCTGAAGTGAGAGCTGTCTTTCAGGTCAGCGAAAGCAGTTCCTTTCCGAGTATCAGAGCCGACGCGTTAAGTTTGAACAGACTGAGGGTCGTCATCGAGAAATGGCCGCGAAGAAAGAGTTCAGAGTAAGGAAGATTGGCGTCTCTCTGAAGTCATCAACGGTATATGGATTAGGAGCAATTGGAGCAGTGGCTGAATGCACAGAAGGAGGAAGAGGCGGAGGCTCAGAAGAAGGAGGCCGAAGTCGTGAACACCGAAGTCCCTTCTATTATTGATGTAGCGAAGAAACCAGAGGAGGACTCGTCAGCTGCTTTGATGGAGGACGGCAGTCGTAATAATATATAATATTCGCATCTAGATCAGACGTGTCCGTGGAAGTCTATGTAGAGGGGCCGTAGGAATAGGGCTTGAATACGAGTGAGCCTCGTCCTTCTCGATCAGCTCTTACTTTCGAAAACGTCACGTTCCGAGATCTGGCCTATGCTTGGCGCAAGAAGGACTTCTGGAAGTTTGCTCATGAAGATGTACTAGACGGAATTGCCTCGGATGTGTCCCCAGTCTGACATTGTGGTACTTTCGATCCGATGCCTCGTGAATTCTCTCAGACATTGGTGCCGCGCAAATAGACTCAATCCTAGGAGTCGCCGTTGAAATTTCATTTTAGGATCTCGATCATATATTCCAAGACTTCATGGACGAGAACGAGAATAAGATGCGAGACATCAGCAGACGTGATAGAATTCGGAAGATGGACAAGCTCTTCCTCGTGTACTCTAAGCATCCTCAGGTCAATAGACTAACCAAGTAAGACTTCTCACCGGTCGCTGTCGGTATTTCCCGATCAGGTGGAATGATGTCTGCCACTTCATGGCTGAGAAATTTCCGGAGGAGTTCCGCAGTGTAGAGCCGCTGGATAGACTGGCCGTCTGGGAGCGGTGGATCAAGGAGGCCGATGAGAAGTTCAAGGTAATTGTTGTTAGTTCGATCAGCTGACACTGGAGTCAAACACGACTGTAGGTCGAGAGGGAGAAGGCAAAGCGTCGGGCTGAACGCAAGCATAGGGATAAGTTCAGGGAGATGCTGGTCCACGACTACATGGAGCAAATACACAGTGAGGTTCTCATGTTGACTGAGGGGGAATCTTTTGGTGCAGATGGTGTGTCATGGTTCGATCTCCATAAGGATATTAAGGATCGTGAGGCTTACATTGATCTTATCGGCAGTCGGAACTCGAGCCAGCCCTATGATATCTTCAACGACATATGCAAAGAAGTAAGGGGAAAGGAGTAGAAGTGCGAATCGTAAGAACTTGATTAGGTCCGTCGGGAGGCTCGGCAGAAGCGAGCACAGTTGGAGTTGGAGAAGGAGCGCCAGGCGAGATCGGAGAGGCTCGAATCCCAGAATGAACATGGACATAAAAAGCCGAAAAATGTAGTGTTAAATGCACTGGGATGAGTGGACCTTCTCTTATGTAGGCTTTTGACGTGGCGGCTCCGAAGAAGAACGTCAGAGAGACGCCTTCTCCTGAGCCGAAAAAGTCTAAAGATGAGCGGTCTTCATCGGGGGATAGACGCCGAGGTCGGTTGGTTTATCGCGAGGACTCTGCGTACTCTGTTGCTATTGGAAGAACGAATTCATGTTGACATTAGTGTTATGACGGCTATTGATACTGGCTGACACTCGTTCGCGTTTTACGTGAAGTAGCGTAATGCTGTGTGGAAAACGCGATATTGGCGCTATGCAGTAGTCGTGGAATATGTTTTTTACTAGTTTATTTTCGTATCACAGGTAAAACTCCATTGAAAAACTTGCAAAATGTTTTGTAAAGTATTTCCTGGGATTTTCATTCCCAACACAGTATGCGAAATTCCTCTGTTTCAGAGAGTACCTCGAAAAGTAGAGCTAAGAGGACTGAGTCCCCAGCGGATGATGTGTCGGATATATCCGATCGGAAAGGAGAAGATAGCAGGAAGAGGCGAAGGGCGCGATAGGTTCGTCCTCGACGAATCGTTGGTTTTCCCAGCATTTTCTTTGTTGCGTTGACAGTAGTACTAATGACTCTCAAGGTGGGGTTGCTGTTACCATGACTCTTCCTGCTGCTCCCACTGCTGTCGCGACCGGCTCATCGTCATCATCTGGCCGGAGTTCTGGAGCTCCCAAGTTGGAGAATGCGCCGGTAAATCTGGCAGCGTGGAGAGGGTCAATGCGGCGCGAACTGCTTGATATTCTGCATGATCATGTTCAGGGAACGAAGACTATGTAATGGCGTATATAGGGGGAGGGAACATGCCTATGTCTAGGTATCTCGATCCTCGTATTTCTCCGGAGCTATCCCTGCTGGTGGAAGTGGAAGATTTGAAGTCCCACGGTGTGGAGTTGTGGAGGAAACTCGATGCCAGCTCGGCGGGAGATGCCGCCGCTGCTCAGGATGCAAAACAGGTGAGATTCGTGACTGTTGGGTCGACTGCGGGAACATTTGCTGGTTTTGTAGATTATTTTTATACTCCATGCGCAGAGTTCGGAGACGCTGAGCATGGTAGATCTCGTTGCAGAGAAGATATTGGCGGACGATGCCAGAAGGAAAGGGAATAAGGAGAGCGCCTTTGAAAAGACGTAGTGCGTGGACTCTGTGTTATGGTAGAGTGGTAGCGGCTCGAAGTAGATACACTCTAATATGTGTCCCTTACGTGTCACATCTGGTCCTTGGCCGTCTACAGCAGAGGACGGTCATGTCTAGCCTGGTGGAAGTACTACCATTGCATCTGATGGGCCTCTGTGTGGAGGGCGATGTCATCACGATAGACCAGCCGGGTAGGGAAGGGCATTGGTTCTAAGAAGTAGTACTCAATCGTTTTAGGCGCATTCCGTGACTTCCACATCCGTTCGAATCCTACATCACTCTCTCTCCTGGCTGAAGCTTTGCATGATTTACAGCGCAATTTCGGTGCTGGACTGGGCGTCTCTCGACAAGCAGGTAAGCTCGGGTAAGGGAATCGGTGTAGAGTGCAGCATTGTGGTGCAGGGCGCAGAGTATTGAAGATGAACGCGATAGGAACAGCTGCCAAGTACGTAGTGGACTACGTGTTACGACTGGCCAAGGAAGACGACGAGGCGGGAGCCCCTGTGGATGGGGACACCAAGGCGGTGAAGGCCTTCTCTGGTCGTGATAGGTAAGGGGCACATCGAGGATTATCGGTGATGCTGCTTTCTCATATTTGTGTTCTTGCAGTTCTAAGCCTCGGCCGAGAGCTCCTCCGATCGGCCATTTGGTGACTCCGGAAGAATCTTCCGAGCCCAGCATGGAGGGCGGTCGTCGGAAACCACTGTTACCGGAGTCAGTGACGAGTAAAGGACTGAAGATAGAGGAGTTCATAGTCATCGACCGACGCACTGACCTCTTCTCGGTGCTGTGTACACAGTTCACCTACGAGAGCTTGCTTGACAGATGCCTTGGCATCAAATACGGGTAATAGTGGAAGTTATATATTCGTATCCTTCCTGGATTTGTGAGTAGGAGGTATATAGTTATGCCCAATCAGTGGGACTTTTGATGCTGTTATGAGTTTGTATTGGTGATAGTAGTATGCTGCTGTTTATTACGCTGGCATTGTAATGTACAAGCAGAACGTGGTGGTGACCATTTGGTGCTGCTCATTATAGTGATAATCATTCCGTGGTCAGAACGAGGGAAGCGCCAGTGCTCAGTCTATGACTCCGTCGTGTGACTACTGAGTTGGTTCATTTGGTGTCTGGGCAGGTACATAGATGTTGGCGAGCCTATTCTGCCAGAGAGGAAGACGGTGGTATTGAACTCTAACGACAAGCTGTTTGATGGTATCAGGGATCTACGTATGGAGGTGCTTGGGCCCTTATTGCACAAGAAGGCCAGCCAGATACAGGAAACGTAAGTGGTTGTCGTTAGTTCGATCGATGATGAATTCTGTCATCGATGATTCGAGTATTCATTGTTATTGCCGTTGGAGCTGCTGCTGCTGCTCGGTGGGTCTGTTACGTGCTTTGTTATGTGCTCAGGTATAGTGAAAAGGACCGGCTCTCGGACATTCCCCAGATGAAGATGTATATGGATAAGTTCAAGTCGGCCCAAGCAGAGCATGCCTCCTTGGCGGACCATGTGAACCTTGCTAGCTTCACCAGTGCCCTCACACAGATGCCGTGGTTTCAGCAACAATGGCAGGTAGGCCTTCAACGCCGCGCAAGATGGGAGGTAGCGCTTTGACAGGTGGAGGACGGTCTTATGTCTGGTGCGATAACACCGGCTCAGTTGGTCGATATTGTCAATGACATGATGGAGCCTAGTCTGCCTCAGCCTGTTAAGGAAGGCCGACAACCTGTAAGGACGGGGGCATCTTTGCTCTGTTGCTTCTGCGCAGTGATTTTCTCAACGTTATACTATTTCATCCTGGTAGTCGCAGAGAGTTACTTCCCACAGCGAATACCTTCGGTTGATTGTGATCATCTCAGACTCCGGGATCTCAACCGTTGGATCGAGTGCTGCGACTTGTATGCCTCTGCAGTGTGGTTAATGGTGGGATCAAGACGAAGATTCTGAAGGCTCTCACCAAAAACCTGATTGAATGGTAAGTCTCGCTGTCTTATTTGTATCTTCCTCCAGCGCCCTCTCCTCCCAGGTATGGCCCTAAACTGATCGTACCACTGTTACACCACATGACTGCGTGTGGACTTTTGAAAGCATCTAGTGACAGTGGGGCTGACTTGGTATCCAGCGGCTCTGGCAAATGGCAGAGGATGAAGCAAGCATTCAATTTAGTGGTTGCAGGTGGCGGTCCAGAAGGCGATGATAGTGAATCTGATCTGGGTAGTAAGGTGTGCCTCTCCTTGAGCGTTTTGGGCGATACTGTATCTAATTATTTTGGACTCGTGAATGCCTTCCGTGGATTGGGTGTAGAAAATGATGTTTTAGTTTTTCATGAGCATCGGCTGCCCAGGATGGTACGTTCTCAGGTTCTAACATTGCTGCTGATACTGGCATTGCGTACTCCTATTCGGGTTACGCTCCGCTGTCGGTACGGCTGGTAGAATTAACGGAGGCCGAGCCCAACGGATGGCGAGGAGCTGCGGAGAGTCTCAACTTGCTCTGGGGGCCTGCCATTGAGGTGCGTATCCTACTTGTGCTCTGAGGTAGCTTGTGTCGCTCTGTCTCCCTCATGGTCATGGCTCAAGGCTGTACGCAACGGTTGTGTTCTCAGGTTGCGAGTGGTGCAGCACCTGAGGTTTTGCCAGGTAGTGTTGATCAGGAAGGGACCATTGGCCAGGGCGATAAAGTAAGCATATCAGAATAGGAGATGGTGTTGAGCGAGTCGTAGGTGGTGGTCGTGTGCTTTGTGGGAGGAGTAACGTACGGCGAGATAGCAGCCTTGAGGCGGCTATCGGCGGTGGAGAGGAAAGGTCGACGCTTCCTCGTAGTCACAACGGAAATGATCAGCCACGAAAAACTATTCAGTGAAATCATTGATGAACAACTATAGTATAATGTCTGTGTGGAGTTTCTCACTTTGAGAGGTTTCTGGTTATTAGTGTAGTGGATGTAGTTTTATAATTTGTGTAGTTTTTTGTTTGTTATGTCGATTCTGCAGCACCCCTTCATGACGATCGCATCTAAGGCGATGGTGACCCGAGGCTTCAGCAGCCAGGTCGCGAAGGTTTGCCTGCTGGGTGCCTCTGGCGGGATCGGTCAACCATTGGCTCTGTTGTTGAAGATGAACCCAGCCATTAAGGAGCTAGCCCTGTACGATATTAAGCAGGCGGCTACACCTTGCAAGGGCGTGGCCGCCGATATCAGTCACATTGACACTAATGCTAAGGTCACGGGCTATGCTGGTGAGGAGGAGATTGGCGAGGCTCTGAAGAACGCCAAGCTTGTTATTATGACCGCTGGTGTACCCAGGAAGCCTGGCATGACCAGAGACGATCTTTTTGGCATCAATGCTAAGATTGTTATGGGCTTAGCGAAAGCATGCGGAGAACACGCGCCCAAGGCGACCTTGTGTGTGGTCTCTAACCCGGTCAATTCGACGGTACCGATTGCGGCTGAGACGTTGAAGAAGTTGGGGGTTTTCGACTGGCGTAGGTTAGTGGGCGTCACAACTCTCGATTCAGTGAGAGCCAGTACTTTCTTCTCTGAGAAGATCAACTTTGCTGTCGACAAGGCTGAAGTTCCTATCATAGGAGGCCACGCTGGAGAGACTATCATGCCTGTGTTCTCGCATGCTTTCCCCCCGCATAAACTTAGTGCTGACGCGGTCAGACAGCTGGACGAGCGCATACAGAACGCGGGAACGGAAGTTGTGGAGGCGAAGCAAGGGGCGGGGTCTGCCACGTTGTCGATGGCCTACGCTGCAGCTTGTTTCGCGGATAAGATCATTCACGCCCAGTCGGCATATGCCTTCATTAAGAAGCCGATGTGTGGGTTGGATTACTTCGCGACGAAGTGCAAGTTTGGAGATGACTGCGAGATTGCTAAAGTGGAGGCGTTGCCTGAATTGAACGACTACGAGGAGACGAGGCTGCAGGCGGTTAAGGCTAAGCTTGTTCAAGATATCCAACGCGGTGTGGACTTTGTGAAGGAACACTATTCAAGCTAATTGAATACTTTTTGAAAATAGGGTATGTCCAAGCTCTCGACTTGAGCGTATTGCCAGTCGGGTTTGTCCGCTTTCCGTATCTTACCGAACGTTATTGAGTTCTGCCAGGTTCTTAGGGAATAAATCAAAGGGAGTCGTGGGTGATGCGCATAAACCTGTTTAGTGGCTAGGCATTAAAAGTCCATCGATTCTCTCCCCAGGTCCAGTTCTTTCTCACTGCAATGTGTGATTTCATTGTGGGTGTTCGATAGGCCTCTCCTGAGTTCCAAGATCGAGTTTTACATGTGATATCTAATCCCGGGTGGGCTCTTGAAGGTCTATCGAACACGCCGCGTGTTTTGCAGATCTGCGTTTTTGAGGAATGCACCGTGAAGAATCTTGCCAACTTATTATGAATTCCATGTGGGGACTCGGATTTCACTATCATTGTCCTCTCAGTTAGCTCCTTTTCCTATCAGTGATTGTATATCGTGTTCGTGGTCAATGGGTGGTATGGGTGGAGTCTTGCTAGTTCGCGTGGTGGAGTGTTCTTCTCTTGAGCTGGCTTTTCTAGGGAGTACCTTTCCATCAGTTGTTTTGTGTCGTAAACCGACTGATTAACCAATGGTTATCACTCACTTGCGTTTATGGATGCATGCTGCCATACTCATCCTCGTGGAAGCCTCCTTTGGACGTTTTGCGCCACCGTGTGCATCTCTGTCGACTGACCTCACAGAGGAGTACACCGAGGCCCCAAGACTATTACCGGTGAGCTTATCGTTGAGACTTCGCAGGGGGATTGTCAGTACAGGCCTCTTCGATACCAACACATTTCGACTGGCGTGATGTTGACGGCGAAAACATGGTCACAACGGACCGAAGCCACTCTAACCCTGGGTAAATACACCGATGACTTCCCTTGCTCATGGCTCGCTTGTCAGGTCATGTGCTGCTTGCTGGGCTTTCGCTTTGACCCACACACTGTCCGATAGGATCCGTATCCAGCGCAAGGCAGCCTTCCCCGAGGTCCATCGCTCGTGCTCTTATTTTCTACCGAAGTTGTTCCCCTAGGTTAATCTGGCCGCCCAGCCATTGTTGACTTGTGCCTATAAGGCAGGCAATGGTTGCCGTGGCGGACGAGTTCTCGATGCGGTCCGCTATGTAAGTTCCCGTCCTCGAGGAGATCGATCTACCGCACTTTTGTCAGATCAAAGAACATGGTATCACTGATGAAACCTGTTCACCTTATCTAGGGAGAGGCCGAGATTCTGGCGAGGTCTGTCGTGGAACGACTCTGTAGCCTGCGACGGGTTGTGTGCACGTGTTACGGTTTTCGTTATGTAGATGCGTCAACTGTGATGCAGATGGCTCGTGTAGCATTCCGAAAAACTATGCTACCTTCTATATCGATCAGTAAGTACCAATCGATGGATGGGCCGCGGAGCTTTACTGTTGGTGTCAGATACGGTCTAGTGAAGGGGGAGGCTAACATACAGTCGGAGGTGCTCACTCGTGGCCCTGTTGTTTGCCATATGCATGCTGATGAAACATTTCGTGCTAAGTGAGCAACGTATTGACGTAGTGTGAAGGTCAGAATTGGCCTGTCAGTTATCAATCTGGGCACACCTGGGACTTTGATTATTTAACCCAAGATGCAGAGGTTAACCACGCTGTGGAAATCGCTGGATGGGGACAGGAAGCTGATGGTAGACGATACTCCTTCCACAGTATATAACTGCTTCCTTAGGTACTCCATACTGGGTCGCCCGGTTCTCTTATGGTGAGCTCAGCTTTGTGTGCATACTCATCGTGACTGTGTTGTAGGTTCGGCGTGGGGTGATCATGGTTGGGCTAAGTTACAGCGCTCCCCGACTGGCCTCATAGAGAACAGTGGATGTGTCTGGGCGACGGTGAAGTGAGTGAATGTTCATTACTCTTGTGGTGATGTGCTGTTCTGAACAGCCCGGCTGCTTGGAAAGACTGGTCACTGTACCCTGATACTAAGTAGCGAGGAGCTCACGGTTCGCATAGTCATGATGACCCATCTTGCTCCTCAGGTATGTCCCTCCCGCTACGGCGCCGATAGGAAAGCAAGAATATGTGGACTCCATCAACACTGTGAGGGTCGCATAACGGGTCAATTTGAGGCAACACGTTGTCAGGTAAACGGTCCTACTCCCATAGCTGGAAAGGCGCAAGAGCAACAAGTCGTTAAGGACCCGAAACCACAGGACATGGTACGCTATCAAACTTTTGGAGATGTAGCATCCCCTGGCCGTGCGCCTTTGTCATGATAGTTTATCAGGATTATTATGCTGGCAGCTCCAACCGCGCTGGTGGCTACAAGGTCCCCCTCATCGAGAATAGATGTCTTCGCTCCAGCGGTATCCGTTGTCATGAGTTGGTGTAGGTTCAACCTATTCAATGGTGTGCAGTATGGACCCCACATGTCAGTGCGACCCGGGTTATTATAAAGTAGCATGAAATCATCAGTTTGATTAGTATTATCATCTCAGACTTACGACGCCCGTTCTGAGGACAATGGAAAGTGTTATCTATGTGTAAGCTAGGTGCCTTTCATTCGCGACTGCATGGCCCGTCCTCTAGGTTCCTCGAGTCGCCGGAAAACAAATCTCGGATGACGGGGAGAAGCTCCCAGGTGTGTAGCAATAGCCTGATCGTTATTCCACTGTTCTGCTTGCAGAATCTTGGGATTGGCGTAATGTGAACGGCAAGAACTACATAACTTTCAACCGTAACCAGCATAATCCTGAATACTGTGGTGGCTGTTGGGCGTTCGCTGGTACCTCCTTGACTTGCCGCCTGGCTCCCCTAATGGAGGCTTCTCTCAGTGACCTCTGCCTTTGCCGACCGCTTGTCCATCGGAGCGGGGGCTCGCTGGCCGAATAAAGCTATTTCACCACAGCAGGTCGGTTCACCCGTGGGGGCCTATCGTGATCACGTCCATTATAGGTCATCAATTGTCGTGGTGGCGGAGACTGCTATGGTGGTGAGAAGATCGGAGTTTACGATTTCTTCTTCGGTTTTGGAGCGGTGAGTACCATCCTTCCTGTGTGCTGGATGCAGCAGTTGGTATTGCATTTATCAGGTGCATGATACCTGTCATAATTACGCTGCTAAGAACTATAAAGATTTCAGCGAGTGGTGCCCGGCCCAGGCTAGGTGCCTGGAATGCGCTGAGGGCGGTAAATGCCGTCCAACCCGACACTACCGAACCTGGTGATCTTATTTCGAATCATCTACGTTAGCATAGAGTAGCGCGTAGGTTCGCCACGGATTATGCGAGGCTATTGAACGGCACTGATCAGATCAAGCGTGAGATATGGAAAAGAGGTCCTGTTAGTTGTGGTGTTGATGCCACGAAGCAAATGGACGAGTGACGAGTCTCTGAGTGATTCCGTCGGGTGCGATTTTCGCTTGTGATCTAGTTACACTGGTGGGGTGTTCTATCAGAACAAGGCTGAACCAAAGATCAATCACGAGGTCGGTCTTGTCGGTTGGGGTCGCGAGGAAGGGACGAACGACGAGTATGTGAGCAGAATCTGCAACTATGACCATATCGTTGTCACAGATACTGGATCATGCGTAACTCTTGGGGTACTTCTGGGGCGAAAACGGTTTCATGCGGATCAAGTTCGGCAACCTCAAAATTGATTCGGACTGCAGTTGGGTTGAGCCGAGCAAAGATATCGCGGGCAAAATCGTCCCAAACGCGCCCTTCACGATAGGGGGTGAGACACAGATGATTGAGGATAATTTGCATGTGTGATCTTCAGATGCGTCAACAGGTTGGACGGCGGCTACATATTTTGAGGACGATTATTGGAAGAACGCGCCTGACTATCATGCAGTCCCTGAGAATCTCGACCAATCTGTTGTCACCGTTTGACGTGACGTTCTCAACTTTCATTATGAAAAGCCCTCATAGGGCGACAGTTCTGAACATATTATAGTGCAATATTACATTGCTAATTAGTTGTGGATTTTTGATTGTGTCGATCGTGACGCATGTCGATGCGTCTGGTCGGCCAAACTTCGTCGTCAGACGGGACTATAATCCCGGTGATCTCTGAAACAGTCTCTTGGTGTCGTAGTATTATTAGTAGTGCTAGCCAGTCTAGCCATTGTAGTATCTGGTACTGCGTCATCCTATCCTTTGCAAGTGCTCGTCGATTATGGAAAGAGGGTTGGGTTCTTTTGATAACTTCATGTAGCCATGGAGTGTAAACGGGGAAGAAGACGAATCGTATCTGTGCATGCAGATTAACGCACTCCGCTGAACCATATAAGGTGGTCCGAGAAATCCAATTCTACTGTACGAGTGATTCCATTTTGTATATATGGGAATGTAAGTCTAGTTGAAAAAGGCAGACGAAGCAATGTAGAACATAGTATGCATTTTAGAAAGCCCTCATAGAACGACAGTACTGAACATAATATGAAGCAATTCTACGTTGCTAATTATCTGTGGAATTTTGATTGCGTCAATTGTGACGTATGCTGATAAGTATAGTCGGCCACATTTCGTCCTCAGACGGATTTGTAATCCCGGTGATCTCTGAAGTCTCTTGGTGTCTTTGGTGGTGCTATTGTCTAGCCATTGTAGTATCTAGCACTGCTCACTCCTATCCACTGCAAGTTCTTGTCGATTATGGGAAACGAATTAAGTTTTTCTGAGAATTCCATGCAGCTACAAATCGTTTGCGGGGAACAAGGCGAGTCCTAGTGTAGTACTCGACGATATACATGCAGATTAACGGAAATTTCACTGAACCACATAAGGCCGTCCCAAAGAGCCGAACCTACCGCATGAACGACCTCGTTTAGAACTCTGAAATTCAAGTCTAATCGGATGAAATAGGGAAAGCGATGTAAATCTATAATATGTCATAAGACTATGTGTTTAGCATGATCATTCGCGAAAGAAATGATAGTAAGATTGGTCCAAAGAAGTTGAGGATGATAGCCATTCTTCGGATGGAGCTTGACCATGCGGTCAATCTTCGAGCATGCCTATGGCAAAGTTGGAAGTGCTAAAATCGTCTAGCTCCCACCAAAGATGGCCTCCGTGGCCAATGTTATTGCGGACCAGTGTGACATTACCACCATTTTCACAGTCACTCCATTCGATGAAGTCGAATGGCCCGTGAGATGTCTGCTTAGTACCATGGCAGCCCAGATTAGCCGCCCACGTATTCATATTATCAGGGATGGAGGGAAAGTCGAACAGATATGAGGTAAGTCCTCGATAATAGGGAACGGCCAAGTCGGATGTACCATGCACGTGCCCCATGCGTGCATTATCGGACCGTTTATACGACGACCTGCATGCCTCAAGCGCCTTTTCCCCACCCGTGATCACTCCACTCACTGAAACTGCTCTCGTGACAATGTTCCTACACATCAACGCCTCAGCGAGCATAGCACCGTTGCTGTAGCCAGCTGCATAGACGGGGATGTCGACCGAAGGGCGGAGACGAGCAATGATATCCTCCATGAAGGCATAGTCGTCTACTTTCTGATTGGGCTGACAGCAAGTACCAGCGTTCCATGAGTTGAGCCCGAAAAGCCCTGGGAGGCCGCACGGAGTCACAACCAACCAACCATTCTTGTCCGCACCAGTGACGATGCAGCTCTGTCTACGGAACTGTTCACAGTCCCCGCTGAGGTGATGCAGATTGAGAACGAGAGCACGAACTTGTGTTGGGGGAGTGTAGAAGTAATACCCTCGAACTCCTTCAGACGCTCAATGCTAGTGTAGTTATGCGTCCCTAGCACTGAGTGTGCTGGCACTTGTAATCACCAATCTTGGGTATGGGAAAGGAATGCCTAGGAAATTGACCTCCACAGGCGTTTCTCC